TATTATATATATACAAGTGGATATCAGTTGATCTGATATATATACAAGTGGATATCAGTTGATCTGATATATATACAAGTAGAGATCAGCTGATTGGATATATATGCCAGTAGATGTCAGCCAATCTGATATATATACAAGTGAATGTCAGCTGATCGGATATATATGCAAGTAGATGTCAGCTGATCTGATATATATATAAGTATATGTCAGCTAATCTGATATATATGCAAGTGGATGTCAGCTAATCTGATATATATGCAAGTAGATATCAGTTGATCTGATATATATACAAGTAGATGACAGCTGATTGAATATATATATGTAAGTGGATATCAGTTGATCGGATATATATGCAAGTAGATGACAGCTGATTAGATATATATGCAAGTAGATGACAGTCAGTTGAATATATATGTAAGCTGATAACAGCCAATCTGATATATATACAAGTGAATGTCAGCTGATCAGATATATATACAAGTAGATGACAGTCAATCTAACATATATATAAGCTGATAACAGCTGATCTAATATATATGCAAGTGGATAACAGCCAATCTGACATATATATAAGTTAATAACAGTCAATCTGATATATACATAAGTAAATAACAGTCAATTAGCATTATATATAAATCAATGATAGCTGATCTCATATATATATAAGCTGATGTTGGTCAATCTGATATATATGTAAGTAAATATCAGCTGATTAAATATATATATATAAGTTGATGACAGCTGACCTAATATATATAAGCTAATTGTGACTAATCTGATATATATATATATACTGATTATAACCAATTTGATATACATATAAACTTATAGAAGCTGATATACTATAGGTATATGAGCAATTGATAATCAATTTGATATATTTATAAGTTGATAACAGCCAATCAGATATATATATAATCTAATTATAGCTAATATAGTATATATCTAAGCTAACAATAATTAATTCAATATATATACAAGCTGATAATGATCAATATGATATACATATAAGTTGATTATGACTCATACATTATATATATATAAGTGCATGATAGCTGATCCAATATATATATAGATTGATCATAATTAAGCTGCTATATATATAACTAAACAATAAACAAATAATTTATATACAAACTTATAATATCAAATTTACTAATTCTATAAATTAATAACATCTTATCTATTACTGATATTACCCAATAATATTTAGTCTATTATATCATATATATTTACACTTATCAATATCCAACTCATATCTAATCATCTTATAAAATATAAGTTAAATACTCAATCATATTTAATCTTTAATTATTTATATATCAACAACTCTTTTATAATCTTTATATAGATATAATAAGTTTTGTAACACGTGGACTACAACAAAGTGTATCAATACCCGTATGTTATATCGTCTTAGCTTAATGGTTATGATGTGGCGACTCTAATCTTGATGTCGCCTGTTCGAATCTATCTAAAGTTATTTTTTTTGCTTTGAATTTTTATTTTGCATTATCTATTTGTCATTTCTGATCTGGGTTTGTCTTCCTTGTACTATAACAAAGTCAAAAGGTCAAACCCACTGGGGATCAAATAGTATATGTAAAATCAAAGAGACAATAAAAGATACTTTCCATTGATATGAATTGAATTATTGTATATAGTTTTTTAAACTAATACTGCGCATTATCTACAGTATCTATTATATTATATTTAAATAAAAGAAGAGTTATTATACTGCAGTTAATGCTCAGGTAGATGTTACTGCGCATAAAGGGGTGCTACAGTTAACCATCTGCAGATTTTACGGATTCATCAAAATAATATGTGACATTTTTTTTCTATAACAAAACAATAGTTTAATACTACTGTTATGAGTTTTTTTTTTTACTTATTTGTCTATTAAATTACCTAAATAGAAAGCAATGAGTTTTTTTATATATAATAGAAATGATTGAGATATTCTGATATGGTAGGGCTGTTTAAATAAAAGCATCAACAGTTTGAATCTCAAGATATATAAATTAAGGACAGTAGATATCATAGTTTTATAGTATTCTTTTATCAAAGTGTAGTTAATGTAAAAATAATTTAAAATAAACTAATTAAATGAAGTACAAAATGAATATTTATTTATTGAAAGTTATAGATCTGTAAACTTTTTATTTTTTAATATTTGTTTTTTATGTTTTAAATCTAATCTTTTAAACTTGTGTTTTTTATTAACATATTTTTTTTATTTTTTATTTTTCAATTTTTTTTTGTTTTCTTTTTATGTTTTTATTATATTTACAAAGAATTAGCCATCCAAAAAATTATGAATAAATGTGTTAATTTTTTTCTAAATAAATTCTTTTGTTTTTTCTAATATATATATATAGATAGTGATGATATTCTGCTTGAGCAGCAATATTCGATTTATTTTAATTATCTATCAACCTGCCCACTATATCAAATCCCGGCGGCCATCTAATCGTAGCATAATTCAAACTCCGAAAAAATTCTAAAGACCGGCAATGCGCCTCTTATGCCACTTTTCGGTTACTCCTTTTTATTAGCTATCGATAGAGCCAAGAAGCATACAAATACAATCAGTAGAAGTTGAGAAAAGTAGAATTACATGAATTTTATTTTTTGAATAAATATTGATTTCTCAAAAAAAAAAAAAAAAAAAAAAAATATTATAAATGCCGACTGAAACCGATATTTTTTTATTTATTTATTTATTTTTTGGTATCTTGCCTACCCTTTAAGCAAGGCCAAACCCAAACATTGTTCAAAAAATTTCAATTATAAGAAGTATGTATATATATATTTGCTATTCTTTAGAATTCCTAATAAGAGATCAAATGTTTCTAATAAAAAAATACAATTTTTATTATAGTCATTGGTGCAATGATTCCTATTGTGGAATGAGACGGGTTTTTTTTTGCAGAAAAAATAAATAAAAAATATTTTTATTTATTTATGTTTTATTTTACAGTGCGTATGCCTCTCTTTTAACAATTTTCGTTTTATCTTCACCTAGTGATTTAAAGATGACATGACAAGAACAGTCAAGATTACTAAATTTACACATACAGACATAAACATATAAATGTCATATTTTTGAAAAGAGTGATCGTACACCAAAAGAATAGGCCGGTTTTGACGTCTGTTAGCCAGAAAACAATCAGCAGCACACACTCTTATATGATGGAGCCGCATTATTATAATCGTTTTATCTTATATACTTGTTAGGCTGCATGTACTGTATATTAGTCGATATTAATCCTTAGATATATATTTATATATCTACAATACAATCAAGGGTGATAAGTACAGTCGACGTATTTTCTTTCTTTTAATATTATGATAACCAAATAACTGTAGAAAATATCTATGATGACATATTTATATCAAGCTGTTTTACCAGAGATAGTACCGTATATTTAAGAAACAAAAATTGAAAGAGAAGTGTAGAGTAGTAAAAATATCTATCGCTATAAACAGCAGAAGTCTGATATGATTGTACATACTGTGAAATCAGTGGATATTTAGTTTATTCTTGTATCACTTGTGACGAAAACAGCAGCAACAACAAACAACATTGTGAGCTACAGTAATTAAACTATGCTTTTCTCTTTTTCTTCTTATACACGTGTATATATTTAGTCAAGACCGTAATGATTCTCAAAAAAATACTCAAAACCGAGATGCTGTGATGTTATGTCGAAGGTGACAATCAGCGACCTTATTTATGAAGCCAACATTATAGAGACCACAACGAGGACCAAATATCTAGTTGTTTTAACGTATTCTACTACTCTCACTCGCTTGTAGTTAACTTGTTACATTAAACGATATAAAAACTGCAAAGGTCATCAACCGTCTCTCTTTTTTTTTTGGTTAATTTTTTAGTTGAATCTCGCTTTTTTGGCTTCCTTAACTCTGGAATATATATTCTGCTAGATAGTAAAATACAAGTCATTTTTTAACATTTTTGGATTTAGAATAAGAAGAAAGAAAAGAAACAAAGGAATGGAGCTGCCCCGAATTACACAGTATTATACTTGTACTTTGATATATTGGTGACATATGCATTTGGGTTGACAATACTGTAAAAAAGAAAAACCAGTCGTTAAATATTTAACGGATCATAGTATTGAAAGAGAACATCTTTTTGGATGTAGCAATGTAAATTAATACCAAGTTGTATATGTCTTACTTTGATGTAGTTCAAGCATAGGCGACAATTTTTTTTTCACGTATATATTAAAACAATAATGCTAATACACCCAGCCACATAGATAGAGATAATGATAGGTACCAGGGGTTGTGGAGGTCAGTAATCTAGCTCAGGTACTACTTCGTTGCTGCTACCTGTTTTCTAGATATCAGTTTGCGTTAATAATCCAACCATTTTATTTAACAATAAAATAAAGACATAACGCAAAATAATTTAAATTCAATATGTTTTAAAACCGCAGCAGATGAAATGTTTGTAGCAATCGTTTTTTGATAATGATAACAATAATTAATGATTCAAAGTGTAATTAAAATATGCATTCCTGTCATCTAAAAACACACACACTATGTACTCTCACTGTAATAGATGTAATAATAGCTGGTAAAGTATTTCTAGAATAGTGAGACACATTATCCATCATCATAACAAAAGAATTAAATTTGAAACCGTTGAGATATTTAAGAATATTATAATGTATTCTGTGTAAAAAGCATTTATATATATATGCGTGTTATTTTGAATAAAATACAGGTTCAAAGAAAAGCATGGGAATTTGTACTGAACGTAAGAACATTTAATTTTGGTTTTTTAAAAAGAATCGGAATAAAACCAATAAAACATTGTATTTCCTATTTGTAACAGTTCTTACCTCTCAATCCAATCCAGTGAAAGCAATGGACGGTCAGGCTAACTTACCTTTTAAAGACTTCACTTCAATGCTTGACAATAGGTTAGTTGAAATGATTCCAGTGGAGATGACTTGGACACCATGTTTGACTATGATAGCAATGACAGTGATAAATACATTGATAAACACGGGATTTTTGAGATCAAAGTTAAAGAGCTTAACAATGAAGGTCAGTTTTCGATCCAAATAATAAGAGAAATGTTAGTAACTAGTTTCTTTTTTGTCAATTTTTTAATAAACCCATTTGCTGTTTTTGATATACACCAAACAATCAAGTCTACTCGTACATTTCAATTTTTACTATCATGTTTACTCTACGCTGTGTTGTTAATGAGGGTCAGATTGTATTGATTGGGTTTATCCATCATGTTTTGAAAACGTATAGTCGCCATTTCCAGCCATCAGCAAGACTTTCTGGATTCCAAACAATGCCACCTTTTTTCTTAGCCATCGCAAAGAGGATACAAAGATTTGTGGTATCCCAGGACTGCCATATAGTCACAACCTATCAACAAATAGTATCAGTCATTTCTCAATGCGTCTCTTCAATGATTGGCACGCAAGCTGCTTGAATTTGTAAATTCAGGAAGACTTCTTACACTCTAGCACCTCAGTCAATAAACGTGAATTAATTTACCAGTCCAATACAAATGCATTGAATGTTTTCTTCATTCATCCTGATCTTGAGGTCAAGTTTTGTCAATGGAACAAGGAGCTGAATATAATTAACATGATGTGCGACGAATATAACGGCCTGATGTGAAATAAGTCAAAGAGCATGGTTGCTTCATCATTTTGTTTATGAGCTTCGTTATTTGATATTAGCAGTGAATATCGTCTCGTTTAAACCCTCTGGTGGTATTACATATCTCTTCGGTGCTACATACCTGGCAAACAACAACTTGTCCTACAGCAAGAGTCTAAAGCCCAAAAATCTCATTCTTGCTGGTTTGATAGCTCAACCAAAAAAGCCTAAATCCAGCGCAATTAACAGTCATAGCAACCCTTTCGCTGATGGCTTGTAGCAAATGTACATGATAATACAAGTCCAATCATCCCCTTTTTAGTTTGGAAGGTAATATCAATGTCGGTTTATGCGAGTACATTTATTCGCAGTCGTATCTCTCTAAAGCGGCGCTGAAAGTAGGATTGGATACTAAAGAGTGAGAAATTGCTAGTACACCCTCAAAAAGCCATTATACAGAGGTTACAAATGTTGCATGACAGTTGGAGTTGCATCACCTTGGATACTTTAAATAAGTGCGTGCACCATCATTGACTTCATACCTGCTTTCTTCTGTAAAAAGACCGAGAATGGTTGAAAATTTAGCAAAAAATGGTGATATTAACGGCAGAAAAAATGGTATAGCGTAGTGTGTATACTGTCATGGTAAGTAAAAGTAAAAAGGGTTTTCCGTACATAAAAGCCGACGAATAGAAGTCCTAGATACTCATCTATTCATCTACCCCGTCCTTTTAAAACCTGCTTTAACTCCACTCAAGCTTTGGATCAACTCTGTGGATATGTGTAAAAACCCTGTAAAGTCTGTTATATCCTATCAAGACCTCAAAAATACCAGTATCAGCCTAGATACTTTTTGTCAGCAGTGCAAGCATCTTTACCCTCCTATTAATCTCACCTGTAACATTCGTTTGGATCTCCATCTGCGTGGGACCATTCGTAATTTTGAACCATCGTAAAAAATTGATCTTTGGGTGTAAAGCATACAACGGATTGTTAAAGAATGGAGGCACAAACAGAGAGGGTGACTTGGAAGATATATATATATACGTACTTTTGTTAAATACGCCTACAAAAATAGTTTGGTTAATGCTGTTCCCCGGTTCTCATGTCAATTACATCTCCTCCTTCTATTGTCCAAGTCAATAACACCTCCATTCCTGGCACTTACATAATCACTCATCACCCGTTTAGGTTGCAAATATTCATTCAAGCTTTTTCGGACACACGAATCATAATTAAAGGTGATGAATCTATCCCCCTTCCTACTTTTCCTCTCCATGCCAGAAGGTTATCCGTAATATATAATGGCGACTATCCCCAGTTCCTTGAATACTACAAAATCGCTTACCAATTTAAAAATCTAGCCATTTACCAGCACGCCTCCTTTACACACTTCTTTGTGCAAAAACCCATCAAAAATCTGATGTTTATCACTTTTCCTATAAAAATAATAATATTATGATAAAAATGGTTCTGTTAGTGGTGTATCTGTTGCGCAAGTTATATTTATTGGCAAAAATCGCGGCACCAAGCTTGTTTATGATGTTTAAATCTTATAAGTTTTTACACACTCCTTCACACTTCCACCCTCGCACAATCTCAACTTAACTCACATAATTCATCAAGATCAACAATTATTTTCATTTATCAAGTAGTCTTTGTACAGCTAATGATAGATTGCAGTAGATTGACAGTGTCGATCTTTGCTTTCCTAAATATTCTCCAGATGACTGTCACATCAATGTACCTGTGCATCGCATCCTATTAAAGATTGGCAGAGTAAAGCACACAATAAGTAAAAATATTAGAAAAAAACTGGTGATTTCGTTGTCAAAAAAGTATTATGTTCTAATTGTATATAAGAATAACATTTTGACTGGGGGGGGGGGGGGGGGTTATTAAAAAAAAAACTAAAAAGAAAAAAAAAAGCAGCTGTTGCTTACAGGTGTATTTACTAGTATTGTGTACGCGGAAAGCTAGACATAAATAAAAAGAGATGAGTAGCAATTTTATTTGGAGGTTATGCCTAAAAGCATACTGGAAAACCCGAGTTTAAGTCACCCAGGACTGTTGTGTTGGACACATTACTAAAAATCCTAGCGATCAATTGGTGAACGTTTGCCCCTCTGTTTTTGTTATCATACGAGCCAACGAGCATGAGAAGGAGGAGGATGTTGAGTTGAAATTCGTGCGTTGATGATCCACTCAATATAACTATGCAACAACACATTATTAATAATAAAAACAATTTACCTCATCGCCTGTCCAATTTGAGTGGGCAATCCGGATGACACATTTTTTACCATGGTCAGAAACTTCTGTGGAATATTCTCCATCGTAATTTTTTAGGTCTAGAATTGTGATGCCACAGTCCTTTTTGATATTTTAAACTGATGACATCTTGAATGCCAAGGTGTGCAAGTGAGCGCGGAGAGCAGCTCTAGTAATACGTTTTTCTTTATTAATCTTTATTTTTCAACAGCAAGCTATAACATTCTTTTTTTTTTGTATTATATATGTTAAAGTAATACTTACTTCAATTGAACGGCCTGCCTTTCTTGAAAGACTTCTCATTAATGCTCTCTCAGCAGGAGACATTCTCCTCTGACGGTACCACCTGATAAAATTCTTGGGCAACATTTTTTCAAGTCACACTGTCTAAACTTATTATTGCCGAACATGATCTCCAAGTGGAGACAGATTTAAGGCAACACTCATATTACACCTCAGTTTATTGTTTACCATTATATCAGCTGGTAATATTGACCCAGGTTTTGTCTTTCACATTAGGTTGCGCATGCATGACTAGTACAAATAAATAGGATAATTAATCGATAAAATATCACACAATTTTGCACTCACATAAATACCGCGATATGTTTGCTAGTTAAGCTAAGCTTGGATACGGACAATGTAAACGGTAATCAAAAGTGCAGCACTAATAGGAGCGATGCAATGGAGATCTAGCTGAACTATTTATTACACTGATGATGCCAGATTTGACGGTGATAAGGACATGAATTACACCATCCTTGACGGTGAGTATCTTGTTGACAGAAACGATATGTCCTTGCGCTGTCGCCAAATTCTCATCCATCTGTTATATGGTATTGTATATTGGAAAATATTCCCAATAGCCACTACTTGCTAACCCTAGTAGGACGAGAAGAAATTGCACATCCTTGAATAGTCATTAATTACAAAATATAATAGAAGGTACATTTTAATTGTTGATGTTGGCTTACAGTCGAATTGAATTGAATTATTTTAAATTCACAAGCAAAAAAATATTTAGATTGAAATCTGTGAAAGAGAAAGATTCTGCGAGTCCGTATGTGCAGTTTTTATCAAAAAAGTTAGAGTAAAAGCGAAATCAGACCAATCAATTATATATATAAAAGATGTATAAAATCTCGTTACTACATATATCTTTATTAATATTTCTTGGAAATACTGGAATTCAAATTGATTTTGACACTGTGTTTTGGCTCAATTCATCACATCATTCTCATCCTGAAAAATGTAACTATTTATTTATATACTTTACGGTCAAAGACTCTCTCTACATATAAGCACAGCCATTAACTAAATGATAAGACTTTATGTTCCTTTATAATTTATTTAATTCAACTAGATTTACAGCGACTGTTAGCAGACACCATCTTGCTTCACCACCTTATTTATTTATATTTTTAATTTTACTCTTGATATGTAAAATTAATTATTTTGTCTCATAATTCACCTAAATTAATTCTTTCTTAATCTTTTTCATAATCCAAATAATGATACCATCTAACATGCTTAGCAACACTAACTTTATTTTATTCGTTGCGACCATTAATACCTGATCGTTCAAGTGCAAGTATAAATTTGTGCACACAAAATTACAGTACATATAAGGCTTTATGAAATCTTAGAGAGTACTGATCGTACCCAAGTAAAAATCACAGCTTTTTGTTATGTTTCGTTTTATATAAAAAATCGTTTCAAATTATATAAAAAAATCGTCCTAGTAACAAGTATATAGAGTTAGAGCTATATAAGGATAGTATTATTAGAACAGAAACACAGAAACAAGATATTATCTTGTAAAAGAATAAAAACTGTCGACTATTGGTAATCTAATAATAATGTTAAGTCAATATGAATAAATAATAACATATTATACAATATACCTAACGAACATCATAATATACAAATAATGAGGGTAAATATATTTAAGAAAGATGTCAAATATTTAGTTGTAATAAAATAAAATGTGTACAATTTGCGTAGTTGATTTCAACAAAGAATTTGAGATTGAGAAAAAAAACAACCTGGTTTGGTCCCCTTTGGATAATGTCTAGCACATTATATTAGTCTCTCTATTTTTTTAACGGTTACAACAAAAAGAAACTGCACCTGAAAACAAAATTTACAGCTATGTACAAGAGTGCAAAAAAAAGGAAGTATAAGGAAAGAATAAAAGAAGGAAATAAATAAGAACTAAGCATAGAATTATAGATAGGAGAAGAGGTAGAAATAAAAGTAGAAGTAGAGGGGAAAAAGGTATCATGAGTTGTTGACTTGTTTACAATCTACGTGTCATCCAGATGTGGATATGTGATGCTGCTACATAATCTCCCGCACTTTCAAAGGCCTTCATAAATAGCTTGTATGTTACAGCATCTGGTTTCAGCTCTCGTAGACTCCTGGATTTCGTAAACATGGATGAAATTGTGCCTTTCTTTAAATCTGAAACTTGATCTTGAGAACTAGTTAATGAATCTTCGGATGTGTTTTCTACACTGGATTTATGATGTCGAGGGATTTGTTGATAAAGTGTTTTGTAAAAGATGTGATTGTCAGATATATCAAAAGTTTTTATCGGATCTGTTGATAATCTGTGGACGGTCTCTCGTGTAGCCTCTTTTTCTATCTCTTCACGCTTAATTCCAATTGCAGCTTCAAAGATCTCCCAGATTACAGAACTTTTCAAGGTATATGCTGATTTTAGGTCCTTTTCAAGTTGTCTTGATTTTGACCATAGATGATTTGTGCGTAGAACACGGATATGATTGACGGTGTTTGAGTCGAGACATAGGAACCCTTGAACAATAAGATTAAAAGTAACTATATCGATACCAATTGAAATCCCATGATTCTTCAAACCCTTCACAAATTTATCGATCGTATTCCATTCCTTTCTACCAACTAGACCATGTACAATAGTATTCACAGTCCAACCGTCTGGTTTTATACCGGCATCAAGCATGGTATAAAATATTTGATTCGCAGCCTCTAAATTATCTGCACTAACAAATGCTTTAATGAGTGTGTTGTAAGTGACGACGTCTGGTACCAGTCCAGAATTGAGCATCTTTTTAAACGTCTTCTTAGTGTGGGCTATATCGGGCGTAGGTAATCGAGAGGCATAGGCATTCAGCAGCATATTGTAGTCGTTCAAAGAAGGTGGCCGCTTTGCCGCACGTCCATTTGGGTTTTTTGGTCCTGGAGCAAGCATACGAGCTCTATAAACCATGTCAACCGAAGCACGCTCTGATCGACGAATATCGCTGTTTATTGTAGCAGCTTGCATCATTGCCAGGTAAATATCTGGTTTCGAGCTTCGTTCTTTTGATCCAACCAGTCGTATTCCTTTACCAACACCAACTTCTCCTCGTACCCATCTATATAAATGATAAGCGTCTTCATGCTGCCCACGTTCGCCTAACTTTCGTATGATGGTAGAGATAATTTCCGCGCTGACAAACATACTGGCTGCTGATTCCATAGATTGTAAGGACCTTACAATATTTGCACCTGTCATAGTATATTTGTTGTCCTTCTTAAGATTCAAAAGTGTATTGACCATACGCGAAATTGTGATTGGGGTGATGTCGATACTCCGCTTTGTAATATATGCTTCGCATGTATTCCAGTTTTTCTCCACACACGCCAATGTTACCATAACTTTAAAAATGCGTCGGTTCATTTCCACAGCTGCTTTCATAGGTCCGGAACTAAGCGATTTGTGTAATTCAAGGCAACTGGGAATGTCATATTGACTGACCAGTCCTTCCATTACCACCGCATAAGGGTCCAGGATTGTTGAATCATTCGTAGTGCGTAAAGATTTAGTTTGGTTACGCAACGTTTGTAAATACTCGGATGTTTTTAGCCAAGATAGCGCACGGTCCACTCGCCCATTACGTACGTGACTCTGTACAATAGCCATGTGTAAATCCGTAGTCACGTTACAACCCATTTTCTTCATCTCAAGAGCTACACGTTCGGCACGACCAGTTGTGTTTATATTGGAGTATATGTGAATAAATGCACTGTATATTGGCGTGTCGAGCTTTCCTTCTTTCGAAAAGGTGTTGTACAGTTTTTGGAGTTCTGCTGTCGACAGATTGTCGCTAAAAGTGCGTAGAACGAGACCTGTAGTCTGCGAAGTAGGCTGTAAATGATGTTTCTGAATTGACCAAAGAACATCCTTCACACTCGCATAATCCTTTTCAAAAGCATAGATATCCAATAAAGTATCATACACTCTAATAGATGGTATAAAATCTGACCGAGAATTTGCCAAAAGATTCATCAATAACTGTAAAGAACTTGCAGTGAAGAGTTCGCGTCCATGTTGGTAAGATCCAGATGTGTTTTTGACTATGGGCCGAGGAAATCCAAAAGTGGGAGTTTGCTTTGAAAATTCATCAAGGAATGGCTCAACATCAAAATTTTCGAATGACAAGCTTTCTTTTGACACTGACATACTTCCGTACTCTTCCATAAAATCCACACAAGCTGTCCAAATACTCTTTGTAATATTCCTTAAAGAGACTGGATCTGACCCAAGTTCTGCGGCAGTAAACAATTTTGTAGCAGCAATGGCTTGTCGCACGTTTTTCTTTTTTAAGTAAACATCCACACTCCGTGCTACACATCTAGAAGCAACAGAAAAATGGACCTGGTTTTGACGTATTTCTACAAGGACTTGAAATGCTTTGCCGAATTCACCAGTATTTAAGCATGCTTCCATGTATCGTTCGTGCATCTCTCCTCTTTGAGTCTCGGCCTTTGGTACAATAGGATTAAGTCGCTCAAAGATATCGGTTGCGTCCTTTAAACGCCCTGATCTACCGTAAGCGGTCATGGCGGCATAAGACATGCGTACGCTAGGAATGATATTTAGGGTTTTTGAGTCCTCATAGGCCTGAGCAATTCTAACCCAACATTTTGAGTGGCGCGTCTCTCGGGATCTTGATTCTAGTATCAAGACGAGTTGTTCAAAACTTTTGGAATTCAAGGGGACGGTTTTTAACAGGAGCATTTTGGGCATGTATTGGAGCAATGCATTGTAAGAATTCCAAATGTTACTGATTTCAATTGAATGCAATGGTGTATTGGCCTCAACCTGGTTGATGCATTGTTCAATGCGACTGTTGAATTGTTGAATGGCATCCTCGGCTGAAATAGGTTGTGAATGAATAGGTTGTTCAGAGATAATCCCAGCCCCCACGTCTTTCTTCAATTCAAGGTCTTCATAATTCAATTGTGGTGACACTTTTAGGTAGTGGCGGGTCTGAGTCAGTGGTTTCCAAGATGAATTTAAGAGTTGTTGCGATTGAATAGTTGGTCGATTGAAAAGACTGATATTTTGGACTTGCAGTTTTTTTTCGATAGTGGTTCGTCGTGTTGGGATACATGCTTTTTGTAGTGGAAGAGCCTCTAAGGAGTGTCGTAGGCCTTTAGTGTGCTGTAACGAGCGCCTACATGACTCGCTTAACTGAATAGACATGGCTTAACTACAGTCTTTCTTTTCTTTTTTTTTTAAATTAATTGTTTACGTTTTTTTTTGGCAAATAAATTTTGCGCTATGTAAAAATAAAATTTGCGTTTGTAAAAAGTTAGTTTTTACCCAATAAGAATTTAGGTTTATTAATGTAAAGAGAAATAAAGTCCTTATTCTTTTAACTGTAGTGTACATACTTCATAGTATGTTAAAGTCTTTTAGGTGAACAGATGGTTTGCGTGTTGAGTATGAAATGAAATGAAAAATGAAGTTATTTCTCAAAAAAAAACAACCAAATAAGCTTGGGATAAAACTCTATAAAACATATTTAAGTGTAATGTTGGTACAAAGATAACAGTTTTAAAAACCACGGTTTAAGATTCAAAGTTCAAGGTATATTGTAACTTAAAGTTGGACATGATTTTGGTCAAGCAAAGATGTACTACCACTATAAAATTATACTATATGATCTGTATATTTATTCAATACATCCTTACTTGAATTGTTAATCATAGGAATGTAGATGGACTTACAGTCTAATAAAGTTTCACTGGTTAGAAGGATTATTTGTTACAATAAATATAAAGCTAAAGTCTGTAATTGGGATATATATTTAATAATTTCAGTTCTTTCATAGCTCAATATATATGTATTGATACACTATGTAATATACACACACCAATGAAAGCCCTTTAGGTATATTAACGTGAATTTCCCTTTCGTGTAATTTTAGTGCCTTTAAGATTATTTTCACCTAATGGCCAGAAAGATGTGTTGGGATATAAGACTGAGGAGAGGCGTAAAATATATTGATTGGTTAGAGTACATTTCACCAAAGTAATATTTATTCCCTCCCTTAAGCTTCAATAATCATATATATTATGATATAATAATATTTAAATTAACAAAATATTCTTGAGGTATCAATCAGTTAAATATATCTTTCTAAAACCAATAATTTCAAAAGGCACACAATAGAGTATTGGAACCTAATGAAAGTGGATATCTATAGGTCAATATGAATTTTGTGGATTTGTAAGTATGTTTTGATAATTATCAATATTTGTATTTTGTCCTGTTGTCATATAATCTTAATACTATATGATCATTACCTATCCAATGATAAAATAATGTAAATAGCTTGAAGTTAATAACTAAAACAATTCAAGTATATTCGATCTAAATATCAGACATCAACATAAGGAGTATTTGTCCTGTATCTAATCATATACTCTATGATCCAGGTCCATTAAATATTTTTATGTCTTAAACAAGATATTTGTTAATAAAGACATAACAAATTCCTAGTTAAACAAACTACACTTTTTCGCCATTTAATATCACGCTTCTCGAGATAAAAAGTAAATTGTTAAAGAAAATATATTATACAGTATTAGAGTGTCACCCTATTTCATAATAAAATACACTGTTTCTCATAGGATAGACAAAGATAAAGAAAATTCGTAATATAATACATTATAGGGCGATGAATAAATAAACGGGATTTTTTTCCTCTTCTTTTTGTACCAGCATCTGGGTGTTGTATTGTATCCTTCATTGCATCTTATAACTTTATTTATTATAATAGGTATAATGTATATTACAGAAATACCATCAGAATTTAGCCAGATTCCCCTTGTCTAGTACATTATTTGTACAACATTCAACACATCAATCTATTTGTTTTTTTTTGCGTATACCAAACCAGTATAAAATACAAAGCCTTGGCTATTAACGAATTTAGGTAAACCTGAATTTTATAAGCCACCACTCAAGATGAGTTCAAGGTAATCTGATGAACCTCAATGTTAACTCTTTTTACATCTTGTACAAAGAGTAATGGAGCTCACATACCTTGAAGTGTGGTTAACCATACTTGGGATCGCTTTGATATTCTTGTCGGGGTTGCTTTGGTGCTTTTGCTGCGGAACATGTGGTATGATTTTATAATGATAAAAACGACATTATTTAACCTGAATGCATAGTCGGTCGGAGCCTTTTGCGCCAGACAGGTTTGCTTGCCTTATTTCCTGGAAATCTTCACAAGAATCATTGGAGATATCATGCACCTAATCAAGAAGATACTTGGGATCTTGATGATCTCAATCACAGTCAGAACCAAGTCTAAACACGTATTCTTTTATAATATGTGATAAAGAGAGGATGTCTAATTTATTCATAATATAAAACAGGAGGGTAAGGATTCATAGCACAATATATATATATATATACAGACCCATACAATAAATGAAAGAAAAAAGTTTAAACCCAACTAAATAGAACATCTTTAATGCAAAGTTGTTGTGCTTTTTTTAAAAACTCTTCTCATTCAAATCTCACAATGTCTCAGCAAATCAATAAAAGTATTCCTAAGAAACGAAAAGAGCTTTCAGACTATGAAAAAGGACTTATTATCGGTGGTGCTCTCCATAATATTTCATTGACTGCCATTTCGGAGAAGACAGGCATACCCATGACAACTGTACATAGCACAGTTCAAAGATGGAAACAGAATTGCACGCCATTAACAGAAAAACGCCAAGGACGTCTATCAATTTTGGGTGAGAGAGATTTACGCCAGCTTAAAAACGAAACGAAGAAAGATCGTAATGCCACACTTGGAGAACTCACAAACGCCGAGACTCATGATTGGCAAGTACATTTGCAAGAATACCATCCGCAAAGCTATTCGTAAGATCGGAATGTCTTCTTGCCATCCTGTGTTTAAGCCAAGGCTATCCAGAACACATAAAAAGAAACGATTGTTGTTTGCTAAACGTTGCAAAGAAACCAATCAAAGATGGGATCGTGTGATTTGGAGCGATGAGTCTCGCTTTATGGTTTTCCCAAAGGATGGAAACCTTAGAATTTGGCGCTTTCCTCTGGAGAAGTTCAAGTCTGATTGTATCATGCCTAGAGTACAGTTTGGAGGTGGTTCGGTGATGGTTTGGGGCTGTGTGTGGGCAGGAGGAGTAGGCCCACTAAAAACGATTATTAACAGCCTTGACCAATTTGGCTATATAAACCTTTTGGAAAGAAAGTTGCTCCCATTTTATGGTCGCCTAAGTGAAAGACATGGCGGGGAGTTTATTTACCAAGAAGACAATGCTCCTTGTCATAAGTCAAAACTTGTTGAGAACTGGAAAAAGATCCATAATGTACCAATAATGGAATGGCCGCCGAATAGCCCAGATCTCAGTCCTATTGAGAACCTATGGGCTCATTTGGGTCGGATGGTAAGGGCAAGAGTACCAGCTCCAAGAACTATTAAGGAGCTAGACAAGGTTATCCATGAAGAATAGAAGTAAATACCGGTTGCAGTATGCAAGGCCTACTGCATGTCTATGCCAACTCGCATAGCCCGTATGAAGAAAGCCCGTGGTGATGTTACTAAATATTAAACTTTCAATAAAAATTATTTTTCTTAATATTTAAAGGTTATATATTCTTATTCCAATAATTTTGAAAGTGGTTTCTTAAGTAAAAGTAGACAAACAATGAAGAGAGAGTTAAGGATGTTATTTTTTCACTTTGGCGGAAGCTAAAATTTTCTTTCATTTAATTGATGAGACTGTATATAATTGTAAAGCCCTAGTCAAAAGCTAAAGTTTGTATTGAAAGAGCTCCTTTTTTTTATGCTAGCCTATATAACTCTTAATGAGTGCCTCTATAAGACGAGATATCCAATGGTTTCTTTTTACCCTTTTCTTAACGGGAAAAACGGTCTTATTATTCTATATCTGGCTCGCAATGAAGAATACTTCTTGAATAAAAAAAGTTCAAAAGTAAAGTATATTTATTTTATATTTCCATGTTTGGCGCGGTACCCCAGCTTCAAACTACTAAAATCCGGTACCCACTACGATCCGCTGTTTGGACAGGGATCTGGTTGGAACTATTCGGCACTGTCCTTCTTCCCGCCTCTCTTTCATCTGTTTTACCATTATTGTCTTACTACTAGCTCTAGATCCTATCATCCCTACCTTACTGATGTTTTAATTGAAAAGTATCATCATTTAGAGCCATTACTGGTCTTTACACTTAAATTTTTGATCTAGCCTTGTAGTTATACTACAGTGTAAACGCAAGAGCAGAATATATCTTTACCAATAAATGAGAGCTTTGAGAGATACCTTTTATCTACATTGATAAAGTTTCTTTAATTTTGTAATTTAATTTTTCATTTGGCATATTAAATAAAACGACATTTCAAGAGATACCGGATAATTTGGTAAATATATCCAAATATATCTACTTTTGTTAGACTTGGTAGTCATTAGTATTTTGTGTGCGCGTGTAACATACTGTGCTCTAAGACTACTATGCATAACTACATAGATTTATTAAGAGATAGGAGAAAAACTAGAGCAAGACACCTTTTAATTTATTGCATATAGATACCCATAAATGATAATGTACTTTTATAGGTTCAACGTCAACTGTGTTATTGTGATTTTGATTTTATCAATAAATTCGTTTTTTATTCAATTTTTAATTTCTAGCTCTGTGATTCTTATCAAGAAGATTTTCTATGAATATTTTTGTACTCCATTTATTCTGCAGCTTGCGTGGTTAATTTTTATGCATATGTTTTTTATTTTTGTTTTATTTTTATACTTAAGAGAGGTTCACATTTTTCATTGTTACAACATACGTCATTAAATACTGGGAAGCTACAGAAATAATTTATTTTTGCATCCACCCATTTATCCCGCTTCCATCCAGCCATTAACCCGATGTTATCCATAACATGGGAGCCAATAGGTTTTTTTCGTCAAGCCAAATATATTCAATTAGTTACACGGCTTTTGATGCCTCTACTATACACAAGATTGTAGACTACATTCTGTTGCCCGGGTACTATGCATAATGAACTAACTGAACAAACATTATCCTAATATAAATGTACCTGAAAAATTAGTATTTTTATTCTAAAGCCAAAACAATAATGAAAGCTCTACTACAGTATTTACCTTTCCTAATATTGAGATACTAGCTCATAAACAATACCGAATACCTCACACACCACCCTTCCCCAAGCTTGGCTCCCTCGATTGTATTTTATTTTTTATACATTTCGTCAGCTCTTCTGATAACTATGGCCCCTTTATCGTTCCATTTGACTATGAACTGTGATTAATTGGGCCGAGCTACACCCCTCCATTGACCCTCTGTCAAGGTTGGTTTATGATCTGGAATATGTGAACCTAAGCCCAAACAGATGATATTTCTGATGATTGTCTTTCTACAGATGAATATTTCCATTTTCTTTAAAGAGACTTCTAGCCTAGAGCATGCGGCAAATTGGGTCCTTTCGAACCACTTGCACAAAATATATTTCAGTTTTATCATTAATCTTTCTAGGTCTTACAAGCCGCTTTCTTGGGCCTGAAGATTTTATTTTATCTATTTTCAATGATGTACTTGACATTGGACAGACTCATGCCAACAGCCCATGAAATCTGAGTTACTTTGACATCCGCTTAATGCATGTACACAATGCATTCGTATTAGTAGGAATCGTATATCTCAAAAGAAACGCGTGTGTTTTCTGATGATGTGTCTTGCATGTTGGATTAGATTGTTAAAATGAGGAAGAAAACAATGCTCATGCTTTTATTTTTAGCGGGTGTCAAAACGCATTAGATTGTGAGTCTTTAATCTTTTGACAGAGTAATTCAAAACTAGAGTTGACTTTAATAGATAGATTTCAAAAACGCGTATAATAATATTATATACTATTTCACTTCATTTGTTTAAATAAAGTATATGTAACTTTGATTTTATTAAGGTCTTTTATATATTGATAAAAAAAAATTAAAAAAAAACAATTAAAGTCGGTGAACGCTCAAGCCTAAGAGCTTTGCTGAGCTGGTTCAAGGTGGTACCTTGGCTTTACTTTATCTAAATATTCAAAAAAGTTAAGATTAGTATATTGTCAATGAATGTTTTTATTTATTTATTACATACCTGCTATAAATAAAAATATTGCTTATCTTGAGGTATGGTCAGCTCAAGATTCTCTCGCAAAAACGAGAGAGACCCGGTTGGAGATTATTATCACCTTAATAAGCCGCTAGGCAGATAGAGCCACTGGCTAGCACACAAAAGTGTAAGGTGTGTTCGCCACTACGTCCCACCAAGCGTTTAAGTCAGAAAACCCTCAGAGTTTCCCACGTTTTGTATAAGAGAAAAAAAGCAGCATCCGCCATCGACATTACAATCAGATTATGCAACAGGACCTCCTCCCCAACCGAGGTTGAGAAATTAAGGCCACTTACAAATGCCACGTCATGCGCAGAAGACTTGAGATGACTACAATCTAACATCGAACACGCATGGCAGAAAACCCTCAGATCCCTACGAAATACGCGAGGCATAGACTGACAAGCTCTATACCGCATCGATAATTAAGCATAATTACCGGGACCACAGCTTATTATTGACTTGCATCTTTGTACAAGATAGAATGATAATATCTGATTTTACTGTATCAATTAAAATGGAGAAGATACAAACCGCGAGTAAAGAAGAAAATTAAAAAATCCCATTCACTCCCCCGTTTTAAAAGAAAATTTTTTTTCTTCAAAGCCATCTGGGCGTAAAAGTAAAAGTCACGGCGCATAAAATAAACATCGGGTTCTGAACAAAAAAATGCGCCCATAGTCTTTTATCAGCATGTGATATATAAGCCTCCCAAAGGATTTGTTTATTTGAGTGAGAAATATTAAGCTGTCTATATGTAAAGACTAATATTTACGTAGCATACAACTTCTTCTTGCTAGAAATATACTTTCAAAAAACGTATATATACTTATTAAATCATATAACTTGTAATTTCAATGTGGAATCCAAATAATTGATTTATTTAACAACTCCATTTAAAACATCTCTACTACCCGAATATTTATGAAAATAAAATAAAAAAGAAATAAAAAGTTAAAATGTACTTTCAATTGCATTATTACAAGTAAACCAATCAATATACAGTGACTGTATTTGCTATTATGTTCGGTTCGATTATAAAACGTATTCTTTATAAGAATCGTTTTGCTAAATAGTAATTTTTCACTGATATTAGCTACACCGTCTTATTTTCTTTATACTGAATCCAGACTTAGATATATATACATATTTATTGACTGACATTGTAATCTGTACTCTATGGACATTGGTATAAATGAAATTTTCAGCGGATTATGCCAAATTACCTATAGTGCAAATTCAAAAGGGAAGCCCTAAAAAGTATTGCTTATCTTAATATCCAATGCCAGGTCTTTTAGAACATATGGTAAAACATGTACATACACTGTGTGGTATATATACCACAATTGAGTGAAGAACAGACTCCACAACCAAACACTGGTTCCTTCTTACTAATGAACCTGGTAAGCTAACAATCTCCAGAACTGCTATACACCAGGCACACGTACACTACATACTCATACAGTGTAAAACAGCCATTACACAGCAGGGATTTCAATAGTGACAGATATAAGCAATATTATTTTGTCTTTTTAATAAATAACACTCTCACAGTATTTGCCTTGATAAAGTAAATGCAGCGTATAAAACAATTGGGAAATAATTTGTAAAAGTAGAATGCTTAATACTATGAAGGTATGTTTAATACATTTGTATATACACACACATATATATAATGCATATTCCAAAATCTTAGATATCCTTTGAAAATAACTTTATTTCTTGGACTTTTAGTTTTTAAAAAGAATTACATAATTCGCTAATTGGATTGTGATCAGGACTTTCAAAACGATGTCACCACTAAGTTATATACAGTCGAGTGCAGACACTAGTACAGCTTTTTTTTTATTCTTCTTCTTTAGAATCTCAACATGCAATAATGTTCCTACTTCGTTTCATGTCACTAAAGGTCAAAGTTGTTCGACAAATAGAGTTGATATCCACACGTTTGTCTGTAGCAGTTTAGACCTTTGCGTGGCAAAGGCCATTTTATACCAGAAAATTCTCTACGCCATTACACTTTAACGTACACTACTGTAAGTTGGCATCCAAACAGATTTTAATGTAATCTACAATCTTGATTAAGCAATGTTAATCATTAACTTCAAAAAAAGTATATTTTTTTTTGGTAAACAATGAAAGTCTGTATCCAAAAGTTTTACTTTTTTTCCTTTTATCGTGTACGGACATTGGTGAATGAGTTGTAAGGGATGCTTCTGGAAAACAATATAATAAGACATATTTCATAGAGAGAGGGAGACAGAGGAAGATGGTAGATACATATACATTGACTCAACAACTTTAATTCATATATTCAAAGTATACAAGAGACAGATATTTGTGGAAGAGACAATAACAGGCTTCCAATCAAAAGAACATAGTTTAAGCAAAGGGGTGTGCGGAAAGGAGTTTAGCTTTAAATAATAATAAAAAAGTTCCGGCCCAATGTGTGTGTGTGTGTGTGAGACTGATACTGTAAAATAAATAAAAAATATGAAGAATACTTACACTTTACAGACTAAAAAAAAATGAAAATGGGATGCGATGGCGATCAAGTTTTATGAAAAGTCCAAGCGATTAAGCAGAGAATTGTTAATTTAGTCACAGAGTCAGTGACCCTGACCGTCGATATAGTATATTCCAGGCACAAAAAGAAAACACAAATCTTGGCAGTGAAGTAGCGAGGGACAGGTTTCCAAAACAGGCAGCACCGCAAACAATGACAAGAATGGATGAAAAAACAATGTTTTGTTTCTACTAAAGAAGTACTCTGAAATTTTTTTTTATTATGTTCTCTTTCTCTCATTTGGTACCATACACATATATCAATATCAAAACCAATATCAAAATCAAAATCAAAATCAATATCAATATCAATATCAACTAATCAAACATACAACTCAACGACTCTCGAAAGAACAATGGTTGAAACTACTGTAAGTTTTATTATTATTTTTATTAATAATTTTTACTTTTGATCCGTTCCTTCCCAAACTGTTGAAATCCCAACCACAACATATCATATAAAATGGCATCAGGAAGCAAGACTAAAACCTGATATTTCCTTTCTTCTTTAGATAACTACATATCCTCCAGTTAATGATGGGTAAATTTCCTGATTTGACTTTTCCTTCCTCTCTTCCCAACGATCCAAACCAAACGGATGCTGAAGCTATAAAGAAAACACAGCCACAAAAGATTGTAAAACGTGCTGGTGTTTATCTTCATCGAAAGTTGGGCTTGTTTTGTAGTAAACCTCCCCAACATTCCATTAAGAAAATGTGCTCTAACGTCTCCTCTGGTCGCATCAGTGTATACACTCTTCCCACAAGTATTGAGGATGAAGTAGCCGCACGAAAAGAATTCCTGAGACGCCCTACTGATGATACCCACGAGTCATTATACAAAGGATTCAAACCCAATGGATTCGGAACACCATGTTCTTACAAGACATGGAAAGAGAGTATAAATCCTAAACAATATCAACAACTCTCTCGTCTATCTCCAAAACAGCAAAAATACCAAGAGCTAATACACGAAGTCATCCTGACAGAGTGTAAATACATTGAAGACCTTGAACTTGTTCAAAAGGTTAGATTTATATACATATACAGCTCCAACAAGGAATAAATGATAATTAACACCAATATGTACAAATCGACATAGATTTTTATAAAAGACGCAGTCGAATGGGAAGGTCTTCCGTCGACACTCTTAAAGATCTTTAATAGTACCAATAAAATCGTAGAATTACATAAAAGCATACTCAAGGTATTAACAGTCTATTCAACTCTTTTTTTTTTAAAAAAAAATTGTATCAATTATTATTTCTTACCGTTCTGATTTTTACAGGATTTTCTTTGTAGACAAGCGAAAGAACATCCAGAGATTCGTACTATCGGAGACATTTTTGATGGTTATGTGAGTGTTTTCAAACAAGAGATTACGTGAAGCAAGATTAAAGCAAGAAAGAAAAAAAGCACCTGACAAAATATCAACTCTTATCTATATACAAAAAAATTGCGTCAGGTTGATTCCATGGAAATATACTCTACTTATTTTGTCAATTTCGAGCAAGCAAACCATGTAATTACTAATGCTTTAAAGTCAAAATCAGATCTGCTTGGGACATATATACGAGTAAGTAAAATATGAAACACACACACACAAAAGATCTATCAATGGTATTCAGTTTTTAACGGTGCGATTAATCTAGAATCGAGCGTCTTGGTCAGAATGCCGGAACCTGCCTTTGCAATCATTTATGCTGTTGCCAATTCAGCGAATCATGAAATACCCTTTGTTCTTTAGAGTAAGTATAGACAATCTCTTCTAAATATTATTCTTACCAAGATATAGCTGTGCATAACATTATGTGTCTTTGTTAGCAACTTAGAGAATGTCTAGAGCCTGAAGATTCCATCTTTTGGGAAATGCAGCAACTAGAAACCAAGATGGACAAAGCCATTAGACTAATAGAGAATGACAAAGCAGAAGCTGAGCGATATCACAGACTAGAAGACCTGACTACTCGTATTTCTGGACTCGATGTAAGTAACAATAATACTCATAAAAACAATTATAATAGTAAAAGGACAGATACATTGCAGAAGAATAAAAATGGGTATTTAATATACACTCATGAGTGGTCGAAATAGACATCTATCAATTTACTTAAGCCTGGGCGGAGACTCATCCACGAAGGACCTCTTGATCTTTTACCTTGTTCTCAGAATCCTTTGACCGATTCATCAAACGACATTTATGGAAGCAGCATATCGTTTAATCCATGTGGTAGTGTACAGTCTCTTTATGTCCACCGCCCATATTTGCAACGCCAAAGCAGCGCCCAATCTATCACAAGTCCTCATCCAAATGTACTCAAAAGACGTAATAGTACATTTTCCATAAAAGAAAAAAAGAAACATCTGTATGTGTTTCTTTTTGACGACCTTATCATATGCACCAAAATACGCTCCACCAGTCGGGAAATCGACGAAAACATAATCGCAAAAGTAGAATCATATCATGGACCTAATCCGGAAGCCTTATTTCGTGTCGTGCAAGAGCCGGGACAGCTTACCTTGGTCGACCGAACCGTGACACGAAAAGTGGCACGGCAAGACAAAACCGGGCGTCTCTTGGGATCCTTGCGAAAACCAACCGCGGCAGCTTTTAATGCGATGTACAATTCAACTACTGAATATGAGGAACACCCACTTCAGTTTATGTGCTCGATTGCAAGTAAAAGGATTGTAGTATACCATTTCGAGGCCCCTACAGCACATGATAAAGATGTTTGGTGTACACGTCTTCAAGAAGCTTCAAAGCTTCATGTCCGTAGTCCAGATACAGTACAGCACGATCCGACAAAAGATACAACTGAACTAAAAGGTGGTTGCTCGATATTAGGCGCATCTATAAATTATACAGATCGACACACAGAAAACAATAATACTCAACATTATCTTTCAGATGAGCAAGACGAGTTAAAAGATGTTGTGGTTCAAGCTCAATACTCCCCAGAAAATAATGACGAATCTTCTGATGATTATACTGCGACATCATATAGTGAAGATCAGCCTAGAAATGAAGACACCGCAGAGCAAACCCTGGCTAGTGCTTTGAGAGAAGCCAGCCAGGAACTATCCAGGATTAGTTTGGAGTCCACATCCAAAACCGAACACATGGACTTCGTTATGGATTTTGCAGTCGATCTTGATGATAACATGGGCCCTAAATTCAAGGTCTCAGACTTTGACAAATATGTATTTAATCATAGTCACGAAAGATTTTCGGTACCAATAATCCTAGAAGAAAAAGACGAACCAATGGAAGTCAAGTACTATACACTAAAGTCTCCCCGGGTGGGAAGATTCCCACAAACTTTTAAAATTTAAAGCCTTAAAAACATATACAATCATTTGCTTTGCTTTTATTTTATTTTATATATTCTTTACCCTTCTTACCATGTGTATATAATAAGTATGTCTCTTCTTCCTTTCTTTGTTCATTCCAAGTACTTCAAGCCACTCTGATTTTATTGTAGATTGGATTTTTATGTTTCTATCCATTTACTTTGAGTTATAGATTCATGGTTTACGGAATTGGGATCCAAAAGTTTAATACTCGTATAAATACAGCTTGTTTTGTTGAGCTGCAAATCCTGTAAAAGAGATCAATTAGCACAATTCATTAGTCAATATTATCGTAAATATATTTCCCCCCGCCTTTTACCATTGTTTCAATTACTTTTATTAAATATATATATATAAAGCCATAGAGCTTATACAGGTATTTGATCTCAAAATATTATATGTACCACAAACGAAGAATCATGGCAATTAGCTCTTTCTTTTTATTTAATATACACTCATTATATACATGTATATAAAAGTTTCTTGTATATTTAGTTACGGTAAATTTTGACGCATTCTAAACGCAAACACTGTGGTAATAACTCTTCCTATCCAATGCAAGCCTAAGTACTAAAACAATATATACATATTTGGGGGAGAAAATGTGTGAGAATATGGAGGTTTGGTGACGAGGAAACAAGTATTTTCTTATATAATGTTATGTCAAATCAATTGCCGGAAATAAGATTCAAATTTATCCAAGGGTATTAGAGGTATTTACAGTATTGTTATTGTTATTGTTATTATGTATGCAAAACTTGTGCTTAAAAAGGCCTATAGATTCTTAAGCTTAAGACCAACAAGAATATTATTAATGCCATTACAAGATTTGATGTTTAATAGTAAGTTACCTCTAAATAACGAAAAGAGTTACAATAGGTGAATAATATTAAGCCTTTGAAGTCCTTCTAAGAAAAGGAAAGATCTTTTGAAATTTCGAAAAGGGCGCTGGATTAATCTCGATAAAAGGCAAAGTATTCTTTTCTCCAGTTAAATCCTCCACTCTAGGATATTTGAACTCCAAGTTTGAAATACTGCCTTTGATATCAATAATGTCTATATCAAAGCTCATTTTTAGGATCAATATCTCAAGAGAAGAACTGTTGTCTTTCTTGTTAATTGAAAACCCGGTATCCAACGTAATCACTGTGTCAATATCTTCTTCCTTGGGATGTGTAGGAGGTTCACCATCACCATTATATGCACATAGAGCTATTGATTATTTCTGATAAGTAAGCAAGCACAAAGTATCGAATTAAGACTTACATATAACCTTAAGAGTTTCCGCTTTCCAATACATCTTTTTTGTGATCCATGTATTATCGATAACTGGATCATTTTTGCGAATGTACACATGAAACCTGTTTTTTTCCTTTTCCTTTTTATCGTTTTCATAGTCGTTTTCTTCAACGTTTTTTTCAGATTCTATGAGTGAATTGCTTCTGTCGGTCTTCCCGTTACTGCCGGGGGGTTTTTTTTGGGGGGGACGCAACCTGATTCCATATGTACGGCGATGAATTTTCTGACTAATTTCAATGGGGTTTGAATGAATTAAGACTGCTCCTTTCATCACAGCCATAATCCCTTCTTCAACTCCTATGATATTATTATCTTCAACCTCTTCCCCGAACTTTTCCTTGATTTTGTCCTGAAGATATTTTGACTGGCCAAGTCCACCGGTAATAAAGATAGCTTTCAACTTTCGTTCATCAGGCTGGTTGTCTTGTTCGGTCCTTTGAATTCCCTTTTGTATTTCGATTTGTTTTTTGATAGTCTTGAGTATGATTTCTACCACTGGATAAAACATTTCTGTTCGAATCTCTTCTGGTGTAAATATTTTCGGATTATTTTCGATATCTTTATGCGTTGCTTTAATTATCTCATTTATTTTTTCCAATGAATTCTCTATTATGTCGATCGAATCTTGTCCAATGTTTTCCTATAAAGAGTTTTTTTTTTAAAAATAAAAAATAAAATATGTTATTATCTTTATTAAATCTTTTGGTTATTTAAAAAGCATAGTATGAAATATATATACTTTACCTTTAAAGTCATATGGTATATATTTAAAACATGGTCTCTTGGTTTATATTTTTTAATTTTCTGACCATCTACTTCCGTAGATGCCTGAGTATCTTCAGGTTGGGAGGTACCTTTTTCTGACCATTCTGGAAGCCTTTTCTCCAATAGTTCTTCAAATAGAGCATCCAATAAGCTTGATACACTAGGAGTAACAGCCCCAAAGGTAATCTCCTTTAAGCTCTTTTGTCCTTCGATGGTGTCTTTTTCGAAAACAGCAAGATTTACAGTTTCACCACCAGCATCACAAATCATGTAACGGTCGCCTTTTTTGAATTTGATGTCAGTATTTTTAGACTCGGCATACACAGCAGCGGCCACAGGTTCATCAATAATTTCTAGTTGTGTATCAACATTATGTTTTTCAACAAGTTTAGACGATATAGCGGCATCTCTCATAATATTCCTGGATTGCTTCGACCACGAGGCTGGAACTGTTATATAATATTTGTACTTTAAAAGTTTTGGATCATGGCCATATTTCGTCTCTATTTCTATATGGATATTTCTACGAATTTTTTTCAGATAGCGAGAGACGGCTGGAGAAGACTGTTAACGACTGTGCATTTATTTATCTTTAAGTAAATATTGATATATATATATGTGTGTGTGTGTATTACCATGTACTAGAGTAAGTCTTGCTGGTAGGTCTGGGTGGTTTTTGATAGTTCTGTCTAAGAGCAACTTTGTTCTTCTCACCAAATCCCCAGGGTTACTTTCAGTCTTATCCTCAGTATTATTGGCGACGTCAGGTTCAACGTTACTGTTAGTGTGAGCTTCAGTGCCAGTCGTGATTTCAGTCTTAGGTTCAGTCTTAGGTTCAGTCTTAGTTTCAGGGTATTTGTAATCCTCATTTGCCTTCTCTGCTTTGTCTCCAAACTCAAAAATCTTCTTTTCATCTTTTTTAAAATACATTGCAGAAGAGGTTTTTTTTAATAGCAATTCAGGTGCATAATTTCCTTTTTTTTTAGCTTTAGTAGTATTTGCTCTAAGAGGGCAGCACAACAAAAACATGCGCTGTTAAAATTATTACTTGATATATGACAAGTATAAAGCTTTGCAATAGTCTTACGTCTCTGGTTTAGGAGGCTCTTTCTTCTCTGGAATAACCTCACATGAAAAGCCAGAAAAAGTCGTTCCAAAGTCTAATAGAAAGATTGCAGGTTAATTTTGATATACATCATTTCACGCCCTCTCTTATTAAGAAACAACGAAAGAAACAAATAAAGAGAAGGAGTAGGAGATGTAGGGACTAGAACATTACCTATGCCTACGATAACATCAAACAGTTTATTTTCTTCTGCCATTATTAGCATATGCAGACTCGATAATTTAGAGCTTAAGAAAGAAGAGAGGTGTTGTGAAATGTGCCTAGTTAGACCTTTTATATATATACACATTTCTACTTTTTAGAAAGAATCCCGAGATTGTCGTACAAAAATCTAAAAGAAAATATGATTTATTCTATTTATTTATATGTACGTATAAACTTGTAGCTATCCTTATTATATACTGTCAAAAAAAAAGAGAATAAAACAATGGCTTACAGGGATAGAGAGAGAGAATTAAACCATATGGTTTGTTAGACAAATAAAAATGAACCCAAATTATATATTTTATTGGCATTTAAAAGTTCTGTGATATATGTATTGGTATGATCCCAGGCTTAAAAACAAAGAAATTGTATGATAAATGTCATCGAATATTAGCTTATTGGCTTACGATTGTCCTGACAAAAGCAATACTACAAAGAATTACTTGGCAAGGATGAGCAAGAAGAAATATAAAAAGTGTTGCTCATCCGATTGTAAAAAAAAACAGTCATAAAGGCTGAGAAAGTATAAATATATATAAATATATTTATCATATGGTGGAACGATGTACATAAATTTAAAATGTGGACACTCATAATGGTAATCTTAATACTAACCTTGAGTCCCAATAAAATTAACGCAAATAATAAAGCTAACTATTTTAAGCGCATAACATATATTATGGCTATGGCTACAGCTATGGCTATGGCTACAGCTATGTCTATGCCAATGATAAAACTAATAGGCTTCTCCTAAAGTCATAAAAGCCCAACTGTAACTAATATTAATCACAACAATCTTTTCCTAGCCAAAGCGCATTTTAATAATCAATAAATCATAATCAGCCTCCCCCTTTCTCTCATCAAGTGTCTATTGGCTATCAAAAATAGTCACAAAATAGACCTCTTTAGCGGCAAGATATTCAAAGATTGGTTAATTTCCATTGTATACATATAAAGCTGTCAAAATTTCTACTACTATTATTATTAAAAAAAAAGGCAAAGTTAGTTAGCATTAACATACTTACATATATATATATATATATATAACTAATTAATTAATCAAGCAAGCAAGCAAAACTTGCATATGAATGAAATACTATTCTTTCTTTTATTCAAACGTTCTCATCCATCAAAGGTCCTTTAAGGGTAAAAACATAAAATATGTTCTGTTTGGCGGAGGAAGAACTGTTTTTGGTATTAGAATTACCGGAAGACACATTTAACTTTAATTACATATGTACGTCGTAGGATATCTTAAAGTAATTGTGCGCAGATTCAGAGCGAGAAAAACGTCCCTTTCATCACAGCATTGTCGTTATTGAAGGTAAATTTGAAGTAGGTTGGCTAGACTTCCAAAAGTTTCTTCAATTTACCTATGAAGATACGGGGGACACTCCAAGTCCATAGGTGAGAAATATGTCATACAAATTGCTGCCTCCCAGTTTGTGCTAGTTACTTTTAAATCATACAAAGTGTTTCATCTACCACTGGATGAAAGACCTCTTTAATTATCTTGAACACAGGAAATACCCTTGTATAATTGAATTTGGCCCAAGAACCACGAACAATTGTATTCTTTTCGAAAAGGTACTACAAATTCGGCTCTTTCTCCACAGACATCGAAGAAACATTACAAAAGTTAAAATAGATAATAGGTATTAAGGTTTAATCTTGTAATCTTTGAAAACTAATAAATTTTATAATATTTTCTTTTTTCTTTTTTCTTTATATGTACTTATTTGTAAATAACTATGTCTGAAGTAACAAGTTATACCAGCATATACTGAATCTCTCTCTATCTCTATTTCACTATAGTTTTGCTCTTTCGCAACTTGGGTTCTCAAGAGGAATTCGAATCGAGTATCCAAAACGCATGCTCTACATACATGTTTCCAGTGTAATTTCTTTTAGGCCACATGTTCCCGAAGAATCTCCTTTTTCGAATAAATCAAGACCTACAGCTCTACCACTAGCATCGCAGATCATATAATAGTTATATTGTATGAGCTAGAAGTTCAGGAGACATATTTTTAGCATACAAGACATTAGCCACAACCTCATATATAATCAATAGCTCTTTTTTTTGGCTTTTTGGATTGCCACCTATTGTAATAATACCAGCCAATATTACAGTCTCTCTCATAATAATTTTGCATTCTTTAGAGCACATTGTTGGAACAATCATATAATATCTATGTTTGGAAGTGTTTTTGTGTTCAGGATATTATACGTTTTTAGCTTCACCGATTTTAATGGGCATATTTATCAGGTAGTCAGCACTGAGGTACTCGTGATTAATCTAGGGTTAGTATCTCAGTATTGGGAGAAGTAGATACTGTGAGAGTGTTATTTATTAAAGAGAAAAAATGATATTGCTTATACCTGTTACTATTAAACTCCCTGTAATTCAAATCCCTGTTGTGCAATGGTTGGTTTATGCTGTTTAAGTATGCGGTGTACGTATTCTTGGTGTGTAACAGTTCCGAAGATTGTTAACTTGCCAGGTTCATTAGCAAGAAGAAATCAGTGTTTGGTTATGGAGTCTGCTCTTCACTAAATTGTGGTGTGTATATCACATGTATATCATTTAGTAGTGAAAAACGGTCTTCGATAGTTATTCTTGACCACAATTTAACTTGGTTAACAGAGTAGCCTGCCTTGATATTGGGCCTGAAATTATATCCCACATTTTTTTCTTATAATACAATAACTCCTTGTGATCATGTTTATAACAAAATGATGAGAACCCTGTCTTTCAATTCCCACCCACTCCTATAATAACAATATGGGTGTACCAGTCCAACAAGTGTATTTGATTATACACCATAGGAAAAATATCTAACTCCCCTCTATATGTTTTTTTTTGATGTGTTATTCGCAAGATGCTTTATTAATAAAGTGGTAGTCGTAGCGTAAGTAAGTCATTCCAAAGTCTATCACTAAGGAAAGAGAGACAGAAAGAATTTAATGGTAAACGAGTGTTAATATCATCTAGATGAGAACAAACAAATAAGCAAATACATATACTTAACCATACTACAACAAATAGTTTGTTTTTTTAGAGTATTTGATGGTACCTGCAGCTCATAATTTCTCTCCTAGCGATTTTGACTCTTGAGAGGCTTATATATTTCCAGCCCTTTCAACCACCCATTTAAGCCTATCTTATTTTTCTTTTTCTTTCAAGTCCTTTGATTGAATTTACCGCCTATTTAATAATAGCTCTAGAAAATCTTTTTTGTCTTCATTTGTAACTATCATTGGTCAAATATGACACAGATGTTTTACTTTCTAATACGTAGACTCTATTTCTGACTCGCACATACTGTATCTAACTTATACTTAAAAGTATTTTGAGAATATAATCATATTGGCTCAAAAGAAGAAAAAATTGAAAATAATTATGTCTTCCTTTTAATTTGACAATGTATTATATTAAACTTCATTATATAGGTCTGGTATAACACTTGCTATATAAAAACGCATCATATTTGTATATTTTACTATATACAAGCTCTTGCTATAATAATAAATAATTCAGAAATAATCAATTAATTCATAAGAGAGTCTCAGTCTAAAGAGTAAATAGAATAATGCAAACAATAGAAAGAAAGAAAGAAAGAAAATAAAACCTGCTTTGTAGAATGACAAGGCTCTCTTTCTTTAATACCTTTGCTATGTTGTAACAGTATTCAAAATGTCATATTTCTTTAATGAACAATGGCTCTGAGACGATTGTACTTTCTTATCCAGTAAGATGTATTGAGCATACGTACAATAGAACGATAGAAAAGCTTTACTAATTTGTTTTCTTTTAAATAATAATAATCATAATAATCATAATGGTCAATATAAAAAACAAAAGCAAAAGAATGTTGTATTCAGTGATTTTCTGTAAATCATGCATATAAAGACCTTGGGTTCATTGAACCTTTTGAGACAATAGCTCATATACTTGTCTTAATTGTTATGACTAGATTGGGATAATCTGCGGAAGAGCAAATATGAGTATATTTTGCTTTGCTGGTTTTTTTTAACAACAGGTGTATTTTTATTAACGGCCATTAGGATTATAGAATAAAATAACATTTATAAAATAAATCAATAAATCTATATAAATACGATCAAATTCTTATATTTGTATTATATATTAAAAATAAAAAGTACTCTTTATCAATGATTAACGTTTCCACTAATCACGGCCTGACTGACAAGTCTATCGTCAGGTTTTATAACGACAACTATGTGTTTTCAGTCACCCTCTATGAAGATGATGGCAGCATTGGCTACAGTTGTAATGCATGCACCTTGACAGATGCTGATCTTCTTTCTCTGAATGAACGTGGAATTATGTACTTCCAAGTCAAAGGTAATTTTGTTTCTCATACTAGATATTGATCGCATGGTTCTGAAATTATGAATATCTATTTAAATTTAATATACAGGTGAATGTATTTTCGAAGCCTCTGTGGATCAAAATTGCTTTCCGGCTTATCTGTGTAAAATATCGTTATATTCCAACAACAGTTATATTGAACTCACTTTGCCGTCTCTCAACATGAACGACAAGGAAGTTCGCCTAAAGGCGAATCTCAAAACTGCCAAAAAAATATTTAAAATACACGAATTTATTGGAGATATGGTGCGGACAGAGCTGGGTTTCCTGGTTCGGGAGAACTACTTAAAGAACAGAGTTCTTTTACAATGAAAATACAAAGCAAACATACACAAATAATAATCAATTCAGTAAAAATAAAATATGAAATGAATCATAAATAAAAGGATATTAGATCAATACAACAATTCTCAATAAAAAGCCTACTGAAACAAAGAAGAAAAAAAAGCAAGTTTAGTAGGATACCTTTGCAAACTTCCTTTTTCTTTAGACGGTATTTAAGCATTAATTTATGGTTGAATGATTCCTGAATTTTACTGTAAGCCCACCAGTTGAATCAGCGGTAAAAAAGAGCCCATAAATCCGCATTTTTTTTTGGTGAAATTGTACACATATTATGTAGATCCCACAAAAGCAAAATACCAAAAAAAGCATCGTGTCCGATTAAAATTAACCTCATAGTAATTTACTCTGCTAAATTCATAGTAAAGACAAACACACACACAAACACATAAAACTAGACTCTTACTATTCGTAGGCTAGTAATCTTTATTAAAGCCGACTACCGCAACATACTTATTGAAGGGTATCTATTTAACACCAAATAAGAAGTATAGGTCAATAAAGGACTTTTAGACGCATTCGAGTTTTGCGATTTAACAAAAAATATTAAAAAATAATGTTTGAGATTTTCAGTTCTTAAAAAAGCCAAAAACGGCCAAAACGGCCGTGCACACCTCTTGTAGTGTAACTCCTTTAAATGGATTTTTAATAGGAGCCGTTTAAAAATACATAAATACTTGGATTTATATTCTCTTTTTTTAAAAATAATCGTTTAAAGAAGTTCTTTTACTTTGGGCAGCAAACGGCCCGGTACGCTTTAGATACTACGCAATCACCAAATTACTCACACACTGAATATTTTCTTTCTCATAGAACCTTATAGAACAATAGACGTCACCTAGAAATAATAAGTCACGTATCCAATATCCTTCCTAACACTATGAGCCATTTTTGCGGTGACTTTTCTTTTTAGCCGCCTCGGTTTTCTCTCTGATGTGACTTTTTTATTTTACCCCCAAGGACTCTTTTTTTCATATGGCGTCACAATTTTAAAAGCCAATCAAAATGATTTAAAAGTCATTGACTCATTTTTCAAACACCAATCATTTTAATTTTCACATTCCGTGACTTTCTTTCAATTGCAAAAGGTCGTACAAGAATTGAACCATTTTGTCTATAAAAAGGGGCCAAAAGTTTGCAAATTTTTCAGATCTTTATTGTGGCGGTTATCTACGTAGTCTGCTCATAGATGTGGCCTTAGTAAACCGGTCGAAAGACTTTCACAGTTGAAGACCTATAAACCAAACTATATAAACCACGCGATGTCTATGCAGGTGTAGAATGCTGATAACCTATCTGTTGCCCACTGCGAGTTTTTTGAAAATTTTCTCGTCCAACAGGGAGATCCCACTTTCATCATTGGCTGGCCACCAATGGTAAATAAATTCAATAAAATAAATGAAAATGAACCAATCAAAATCTATATAAATTGATTTTCTTAAATCATTTTATATAGATTTTGATTTTTTTTTTGTTTTTTCAATTTTTTGTTTGTGTTTTTTTATGTTTTTTCAATTTTTTTTTATAAATTAAAAATAAAAAATTAAAATTAAAATTAAAATTAAAAAATAAAAAATAAAATAAAAAATAAAATAAAATAAAATACACTCACGCTGAAAAATATACAAGCTTGCACCCAAAAACAGCCAAAATAAATCGATAAAATAAAAATAAAAACGTTGCTTTCTTCCCATTATATTAATTGAAGCCAACACGCAAGGCACAATTTCATCAACTTTTTTCTGTTTTATATACGAGAGCCAAGTCTCACAAATACGGATGCATCATGTGTATTCATTTTTGTAAATTAAGGCGCAAACAAGATTGCAGTTGCTACTCACACGAATCTGGGTATAGTCAAATGCAGCATTAAGAGAATAAAGGAAACTGGATTACCTGAGTCAAGGAAATAGCCCATAAGCCAACCTTCGAAAACACAAGAATAGAAGACGGGTCGGATTGGGCTTATGCTCTAGTCAATTGGTCCGATGAATCAAGATTAACAGTCAATGGTATTGATGAAAGAGCTCGAGCTACAAGAAGAGTTGACGAGATATATAGTAAAAAAATATCATCGAGGGAACCAAGTGGAGAGGGAAGGTTAGTGTGATGATTTGGAACTGTTTTCTGTACCGGGTGGCTTTAGGAACCTTTGGAATTCTTAGATGACAACGTAAACCAAGACCCAATACGTGAATGATTTGTTTTGGCTCCATAACTATCCTCCCATGGTTCCAATTTCTTTACGGGAACAAAAGGGGACTTTTCGTTCCAAAAAGACAATGGTGTAGCTGTCATGTTGGCTCTTATTCGAAGTGATGAGAGGATAGCCCATGAGTTCCAGAGGCGTTGACTACTGGCCAGCTCAGAACCCGGATGTCAACCCCATTGAGAGCATCTAGTGAGCTCTCGAGAGACATATGAATAACGAGAGGGCCAACACCAACAACGTTTGTGCTTTGAAGGTTGCCATTCATCGAGAGTGTGGAATAAAAGGTGTTGTTATTGCCTAAAGGCTGACAGGTGATATGAAACATCGGTGCTAGGCTTTGAAATTTATGCCAAGGGAGGACATATCAGATATTGATATTGCTAATAATGAACATGCGCATAATCTTGGATTTGGAGTTTGAAGGTTTTGGTTATTATTCGTGGTGCAGAAATTGGATGCTGAAGATATGCTTTGATTTTTCTTCTGTTTTTTATGACTCAGGTTGGAACGTTTTTGATAGTGGATTTATATATGTATATATGTTATAATGAAATATTAAATTTATTGTTTGATAACTCATTTACTGTCAAAACAAAGGACAAAGAAGCCGTGGTCATAATAAGAAATTGATTGATTTTCTATATAAAAAAAACAGACAGACAAAGACCAATATATGATACTCTTGACTTAATAATATCATATATGTGTAATTCAAAGATGTCTTGTCCTCTACGACATTATTTCTTGTTAAAGGTCGTAAAAAGAAAGGAGGGTAATGTAATATAATAAAAAGGGGGATTATCTTTTTTTTTAGAAAAAATACACATCTGTTCAAAGTTTATATTTAAGCTTAACCGAGGGATGTTTTATAGTCTCTCAAACCCAAATTAAACAAAAGGACAAGCCAAGCTCTGAATTATACATAATACAGTTAAGATGCTGTGATGTACAACAAGAGTACTTTAAATATGATAAATGATAGTAGATATTGGTGTATATGATTTCAATAAAGGAAAATGTTATCCAGCTCTTTGTTTTCTCTAGGTTATCAAATCTAAGAAAGAAATACAATTATGATTCCAGATAACCAGTTGAACGTTGTTATTATATTCTATGATTGTGAAATGTTTTGGTATAAAGCATACACCTAGAATACCTTGTTTTTAGTAGGTAAAATAGACCAAAATGCTATTATTACTATTGCTTTTAACTATCACAGACTTTATCTGTGGAGTAGGTCAGATCAAGTTAGGACAAGAAGTCCTCGGCGAAGATTTCTTGGTAGATTCAGAAATACGAGAAGCTTCAAATTTGTCAAATTATATCCAATAATTTCGTTAAACATGCGACTTTAAATTATCTAGGCTTCACAGTGCTAGTGCGAGGACCATTACAAACGCTGCATCTGTGACGAGGAGGTTTGTCAATTTTAGCCATATTTTCTTTTTCTTTAATATAAGTACAAGTACAAAATACAAAATACAAATAAAGAGCAGAAAATATAAAGTTATTATGCGGTGTAAAGAGTAGAATAGAAAAAAGAAAACAAAAATTACTCCTTTGAAAACAAAAACAAAAATAAAAATAAATAAATAAATATCTTATATGTATACGTATATTAGGCTGGCATTACAATATCACCAACTCAAAAAAGAATACTGGCAAGAGCCAGTATATTTGACACAAGAACTATAAAGCTTCTTCTTCTTCATCTTCTTCTTTTACTTTCTTCTTTCCTTATTCTTTCTTTTAAAAATATCATTATGAATAGTACAGACAGTGCAGTCATTCAATTGATCCAAAACATGCATGAAACCCTTATTGCGGTGCTTAAAGGACAAGAACAAATTCTTATGGAAATAGCCGATATCAAGAATGATCTGAACAAAAGAGAATCCACAGAGCAAGAAGACGAAGCATCTGTAAATGATTTTGTGTGTGTCAATAAGAATATTAATTGTAGTAGTAAAATGAAATGACAATAACCATAACAATAGATATACATATAGCTTATAGACACAGCTAATATAATATAATATAATATAATATAATACAATTCAATTTATTCATTTTATTATATCTCATTAAATACAATAGATACCCTCCATCGATCCTATACGAAGACCAGTCTCTAATATCAAGGATATAACCATGAGACATATCCACAAAATGATCAGTCAGGACCTCGGTATTGAAGTAACCAAGGTCGAGAAATCAAAGCTTCACACTTGTACGCTGCTTATTTGCGATCAGCTTGCGGCACTTCCGTCTGTACAGGCTCTTGGGCCACGTCCTAAATGGGGATCGATTCCGAAAAGAGACAAGAAGATGATTTGTGCTAGACATGCAAGCATGCTCAAAGCTAATGGAATTGATTTCACGAGATGTCATGGGAACTGGGCATCAATTGCCAAGGTTGGACAGCTTTGGAAAGACCGTCAAAAGAGAGAGATTAATAATACGGTACGTTTATCTTTAGCTGGTAAACACAAAATACAATATATATTAGGATAATTGAATAGTAAAATCATAGACAATAATGATGTATAGTTTATATAAGCAATTCTCAAATAGATATTATTTATTTATGTACTGGTGTATTTTAAAGATCAAAAAGAGAAATTAGCATATATATATAAAAGATAGAAAAGGGTGAAAACAAGAGTTGATTTTCAAGAGATCTTAACCCCCTCCAACCACCCCCTAAAACCCCTATTTGTTTCTTTTTCTCTCCTACAGATCCGTACTACACAACGAAACAACCCTCTCAATGCGCATCTACCTTAATAACAAGTGTTTGTAAATATATTCCATACATACATACATTCATACATATATACATATATACATATATACATACATACATACATACATACATACATACATACGAATATACAAGGATAATTGTAAGCACTAATAAATCAATAATCTATACACAATTTTTGCTTTTCTCAATACACCTCTTTGGTTTTTCTATAAAACTAAATGAATGGGTAAGAGAAAATAATGCTGTATAATCTTAACAGTGATTCCATTCACACAGGTAAACAAGGTGTAAAAATAGGCTGGTTTTGCCCCCCCTCTTTCTCCTCTTTCTCCTCCCTCTCCATCTCTCCCTCCTTCTCTCTCTATCCCTCCCTTTCTCCCTCTCCCTCCTTCTCTCCCTCTCTGTCTATGTCTATGTCTCCCTCTCTCTTCCACTCTCCCCCTTCTTCCCCCTTAAATATTAAAGTTTTATCTTTTCTTCTTTTGACAAAAGATGCCCAATAGCTTATAACATAAATAAATAAAAGCCATAGACTTTTATTTATGTAAAAGTAATTATTTAACTCGTAAATGATAGGCTTAATATATATATATATATACTTCTTTAAAGCCGAGCATAACAAAGTATCTATGGATCTGTTTTAAGCCTAGCACAAGTTTAGTAACTGAGTTTAACTGGAGTTTCTGCGGTAAAATAAAGAGAAAAGAAGGGTATTATGTTTTGTGATACATATTAATCCTTCTATTTTTTATTTTTTTATTTTATCTTTTGAGAAAATAATATTTGTCTATTGGATATAATTGTTAAACCAGTATATAGAAAAATATATATTTAAGCAAATGTAAAATTGAAACAATAGGTGAATAAATGTATGAATAGATCTTACAAGGCAAAAGACAGAAAAAAGGTAATGTTAAAGTGGAACAGTATTGAGTTCAAGCCACATTGATGACGAAATCAACTACACACTTGGATACATATAATATTTATTCTTATTCTTCTTCTGTTCTAGAGAATTATTGACTGAATCTTGGTTTTTGGTTTTTACCTAAAGAAATGAAAATTATCGATCAAATATAATAAAACTTTGTAGCTATTATTAATACCACCACCAATACTACCGGGAATATTATTATTTTTGATCATTTGCAGCTTAGAGAATTATTCATATTGAACTGAGCTCCCACATACATACATACATACAATTACATTAATGTGTTGTATAGTCACGTGTCCCATTATTACCACTATTGTTGTTTGTTGCTACTTCAACTACAAGACAGTGGGCTTGAAAAAATAAATAAATAAATAATAAAAATCGGTGACTTGATCTTTATTTGCTGCTCAGTTATATATATATATTTTTTTTATTATTTTTTTTTATTTTTTCTTTCCCCTACAGAAAGCCTCTTTTTTTTTGACTGTTGAGCAGACAAAAACAAAAATTGAAATTTTGAGCTTTTCTCTCTTTCTCTCTCCTTTTTTCTTTTTTTTTCTTTTTTTTTTAAAACTATTTTATAGATAGATATAAAAGTTACCTTCTTTCTCTTTTATATATATATATATACACGCACATACACACACGCACACGTCATTTCCGTACCTGGAATACATATATAAGAAAAAATGTCTACCAACGAACAAACCACCGATGAGAACATCGAAATCTGGAAGATGAAGAAGCTCATCAAGGGTCTTGAGGCTGCCCGAGGGTAAACCACATTACCAAATATATATGTATATATATTTCTGCTTTAAGCATACACACACAGTTATATAAATAATTGTATTTACTTGTATTTGTGTGTGTGTGCTTAAAACAATATTAAACTTATACAATTATGTAGTAAAGCTTAATATTTGCCTTTATTTATTTAACAATCTTAATACTCATAACGCTTATAATAATCGATCATATTCTCTATTTTCATGCACTTAGAAACGGTACCTCCATGATCTCCCTCATCATTCGTACGTCTTAATGCATAATTTTATACGTTTAAAAGAAAGAATAGAACAAAAGAAAGCAAAATGATAATAATTTAGAGTTGAAATATTTATATATTTATATATTTGCCATGAAAAATCATTACTATCAAACTAAACTTTGAATTTCGTTTCGCTTTATTTTATTTATGACATAAAATCCTTTTCTTTTGCGTGTATGTGTGTATGTGGATATCACCAATAATCAACAACAACAACAACATCGTCAATTCAAACAGCCCCTAAAGATCAGATTTCCCGTGTCGCAAAGATGTTGGCTGATGAAGCCGGTACTGCCTCTAACATTAAATCCCGTGTGAACCGTCTTTCTGTCCTTTCCGCAATTACCTCTACCCAGCAGCGTCTCAAGCTTTACAACAGAGGTAATAAATCAAATCAAATCAAACTAAACTAAACTAAACGAAAATTTTCTTTATTGAAAATACACCAAAAATCTATAATGGCATATTAAACATCTCTTTATCTTCCAAAACAAAAAAAAACAAAAAAAGTCCCTACCAACGGTTTAGTAGTCTACTGTGGTACCATTGTCACAGACGAAGGAAAGGAAAAGAAGGTCAACATCGATTTTGAACCCCACAAGCCCATCAACACCTCCCTCTACCTTTGCGACAACAAGTTCCACACAGAAGCACTCTCAGAACTTCTTGAGGCCGATGCCCGCTTCGGTTTCATTATCATGGATGGTAACGGTTCGCTGTTTGGTACCCTTTGCGGTAACACCCGTGATGTTATCCACAAGCTCCAGGTCGATTTGCCCAAGAAGCACGGTCGTGGTGGTCAGTCCGCCCTTCGTTTCTCTCGTCTTCGTGACGAAAAGCGTCACAACTACGTCCGCAAGATTGCCGAACTCGCCGTCAACTTCTTCATTACTGCCGATAAAGTCAACGTGACTGGTCTTGTTTTGGCCGGTTCTGCTGATTTCAAGACCGAGCTTTCTCAGTCCGATCTCTTTGATCCTCGTCTGCAGGCCAAGGTCGTCAAGATTGTCGATGTTTCCTATGGTGGTGAGAACGGTTTCAACCAGGCCATCGAACTCTCAGCCGAAGCCCTCTCGAATGTCAAGTTCGTCCAGGAGAAGAAGCTCATCCAGACCTACTTTGACGAGATTTCCCAGGACAGTGGCAAGTACTGTTTCGGTATCGACGACACCCTCAAGGCTCTTGAGCTCGGTGCTGTCGAGAGTCTCATCGTCTGGGAGAACCTGGAGACCAAGCGTTATGTGCTCCGTGATGCCAGCGGAGCCGAGCATATCATCCACCCCACAAAGGAGGAGGAGAAGACCCGTGCCTTTATGATGGACACAACCCCAGAGGCCACACCCAACGCAGAGATGGAAGTCGTCGATGTCAAGCCGTTATTGGAGTGGTTCGCTGAGAAGTACAAGGAGTTTGGTGCTGCGCTTGAGTTTGTTACCAACAGATCCCAGGAAGGTTCTCAATTCGTAAAGGGCTTTGGTGGTATTGGTGGTATCTTAAGGTAAGAAATTATACATATACTAGAAATATAACAAGAGTTAAACTCCTTGCTCTTTTATACCATGAATCTTGTCAATTAAATCGATACCCTGGCTTTCTTTGCTGTATTAGATACCGAGTCAACTTTGAACAGCTCAACTACGAATCCGACGAATTCTACTCTGACGACGACGACTTCTAAACGCAACTTAATGTACCCTTCCCTCCTTTCCTTACACCATCAAGACGTCTTTTTTTTTCTTTACCCTTCTTTTTCTTTTTCTTTTTTTCTTTTCTTTCTTGACTTCAAAAAAGGCAGGATTAAAGAGAGATAAAGAAGGATGAAGAAAGAGTGTGTATGTGTGGCATTAAAGAAATGTAAACATACAAAAAAAGGAGCTTAATTTAAAGCCACACAAACAAAGAAGTAGATTGTAAAAGTGTTATTGTTCTTATTGCTGTTTTTATAAATGTGTTTTATTTAATATGTTTTTTGTTTTGTTTTTTTTTTGAAAAGAAGTAGATAGATATATATATATATATATACTACTATTATAATTATAATTGATTTGCGAAATCTATATATGAATGTGAGTAGGTCGATGTATATGTATAAAAAAAGTGAATCAAATAACTGGAAGATATGTATAAAAGAAAACAGCAAAGAAAGTTTCAAAAACAAATTAGTCAATTAATTAATCAATTAATAGAAAATCATTAAGAATTGTATGTAGTGTAAATATTCATAAAGAAAGAAGAAGAAGAATATAGTATTTGTTCCTACTCTTCTTCAAGTTCTTTGAGGTAGGCAAGCAATCTACGCTTGTGAACAATACCAAGAAATCTGCCGCTTGATTGAGTAACACACACATAGCGTGCTCCCAACTTTACAAACATATCCATCAACATTTCCATTGACGCATTATGGTGGATTGTCAATGGTGCCTATGTGGTTTATAAGGAGCAAACAACCAAATACAATGTATCGATCAAGTTAGTGATTTACATATTATATATATTATATATAAGTTGGCTAGCAAATTCACTAAAGAATCTTACATGATCCACGTAGTTGGAAAAGTCTCTACTCAGAGAAGAAACATGCTCTTCATCATTTTGACCTTGGATCGGTTGGCTGAAACCAATAGTGGCATCAAATGACCGATCATATACCTGACCAGCTTTAAAGTATATTGGAGTATCGTCTATGTTTTGAGGGTACAGACTGTTCTGGTAACTTTGGGTCTCATGTGCAACTTGTTCAATCGCGTGTGACAGTTCGCTTGTGGCAATATATCCTTCAAGGATGTTTCCTTGGCTTAGGATCGGTAGTCCACCATCCTCGCCATATCCCATTCCAGCCAACAAGTTCATCTTTTGGGTGAGTCTAGCCATTGTCGTAGTCTGGTCAAGGTCAATTGTAGGCAAGTATTCGGTAAGTTCCATTATTGTTAAGGTGTGGGCATATGACTTGTGAGAATCTAGGTAAGGGTATTGTTGAAGATCAATCAAAAGGTCATATATGCCTTCAGGAAACATTGCATCAGATGTCCACTTTGCAGCCATTACAGCAATCGTTATGGGCTAATAAGTAAACACACAATTTGTGAGAACAACCAAAGATTGTTTTGTAAGCACAACGTTCCTTTTAATAAATAAAATACTATTGACTTACCCCAGCATATGTCAATGAATATGTAAGTTCAAATATAATAACCACAAGAGATACTACAAATTAAATGCCAATATGAATATACATTTTATCTTTCTTTAGAAATATGTATATGAATACCATTATTATAATTATTATTAATTTTATTTACCTGTTGTTCTAGTTACACCTGTCAAGCCTGCAGCAGCTCCCACTATAGCATAAACACCTGGAATTACGCATTTTCCATGAGAGATCATATCCTCAGCACATGAATCAAAGGGCCATGCTTCAGGATACGAGAGTGTCAAATATTGCATAATCAGACCAATCATACGCCCAGTGACTGCACCCACGACAAGGCCTGGAAGAAATACACCACCTGGAACACGACAACCAAAGGTTACTACAGTAAGTCCCATTTTTATTATCAGGGCAGCAAAGAGAAGAGACAATATTTGTGGAATTTCCGCAGCAGTCTTTCTGGTTACAAACAATATCACAATAACAACAGTAATGTTTGTTGTAAATGATTATTTTAGTATGATATTCAAATTCAAATGCAAATCTGTAATAATATCAAATAACCTATCCACTTACGCGCAAAGTTTTCTATTATCGTTTGTACTCGAGCATTCGGAGAACAGGTTCAAAGCAAAATCATTGAGACTCAATCTTAGAAGAAAAAACAAAAAAAAAACGCAATATATGAATACAAATATGAATAAGTAGAATAAAGAAGCACCACAAACCTGGTAAAAGGATTCCAGAAACTAACAAGAGCGGTGAGTATCATTATGCACATGACTTCAGTAACTGGGTATTTTCCAACAAAGGATCTCTTTCGAAAATGTTGGAATTTGATGTTGTAGTATGTAACAGCCGCGCCAAAGAATCCCTATGGTGAGCAGAAAAATGATAATAATATGTACAATTAGTATCAGATAATATATATGTATATGTAGATCTATTATCATTATCTTTTACTAGACTCACAGCAGAGATTCCACAGATCAAAAATGGAATCAGCTCAAATAGATGGTATTCCTTATCATATTGTACTTCAAATAATACAATCTTTCCAGTTCCAAATGGATTGGTTATCTATAATGCAGAACCTTGTTAGTTACCATAGTGATGATTATTATTGGAGAAAGGAAGGGTTGGTTATTACTACCAAGAAGAAGGGAGTTACCTTGAGAACCATAGCAGCTACTATTGCGCAACAGTAGCTTCGAACCATTGTCTTTATAGGAAAATAGTAACTGACTTCTTCCAAGCTAAACAAGACACCACCAACTGGAGCTCCAAAGGCAACAGCAACTCCAGATGCAGCGGCAGCAGATAATATTTCTCGTTTTTTGCCTATAGAAATAAAAGAAGGATAAGTATAATATATACACATACAAAAGATATTTGGTTTTTTTTCTATCTTACTTTCATTCTTGTTAAATTTGGGGAATATGCGACATGCAATATTGGCCACTGAGCAAGCAAAATGAACAAAAGGACCTTCTTTACCACAGTTTAACCCCGAAGAAGTCGAAAGGATCTATTATCAAGCCAGACACACACACACACACATAAATACATACATACGTACATACATACGCAATAAATTATCACAACTCCCACAAAAAGTATAGCAACAACATGACACATTCAAACATTTATGTACTTATTTTAACTTACCAACCCTATGCATTTTACAAACAAGGTCTTGAAACCCAAGAAACCTTTAATGACAAACCCTCCCAAAATCACCTTGACTTCCGGGATACCAGATCCAGCACTGTAATAAGCTGTCTTTGTTTCTGTCTTTGTTTGGTCCGCTTTTTTGCCTTCCTCACCACCGCCATTAATATGTCTTTCTTCCTCTTCCTCTTCCTCTTCTTTTAGTTTTGTAAAGTTCTGTATTGACCCCAGCCGATTAGTATAGGTCGGGTCTTCATTGAATTGATGAAGAGAGGCAAGAGAAGGAGATTTAGAAAATCCGGTTGGTTTGGCTGGTACACGCATTGTTAGTTTTTCGGCCGAGTACTTGACCATGAGTGCAGACGACAAGGAAAACAATAGCTAATCAGAGCCAACATTTTGTTTTTTTACAAAAAAAAAACAGTGGTGTTAATTACCATAGTTATTAATTAATGGATGAAAAAAAAAATAACCAAAATTCTGAGGTGAAATTATTACTTACACCAACAAAAGTGTACATTGCCATGGCAGTGTAATACACTCCGGATTCACTTTCAACATTAAATACTTCGGGCCATAACCTCCAGTCTGAACAAGTCTCGTATTCTATCAATCCCACAAATTGTAAACCAAAATGAATATAAATAATATTCCAAGTTTGTTTCTCTCTTTATCTCTTTTTTTTCTTACCTGCTTTTCCCCAGCAACAAAACTGTCGATTGTATCTCCATTTGGACGTACAGTATCCTTGTTTGAGATCTGACAACCATTCTTGGACGACATTGGTGAACCAAGCTATCATAGCAACACATATACCGATGATGATTACTAATATCCATGCTTGAGAGGCGTCACTTGCTTTGGCCCATCGTCCACGTACACCTGGTATGTCTCTCAATTTTCTCAATCTGACACCTTCCTTGATACGATCGTGGATCCAATCTATTTTGTGTACCAAAACGAAGAAAAGAAATAGACGATTATTTATAAATTTTGTTTAAAATTATTATTATATAAATATAAATGTATTTACCAATACTAGAATATGATTCACTCCATACACGAACGCCTGTATTCTCTTTAATCAAGTCCTGTTCGTCTTCGTCATATACCCCAGTACGTTTATTGAAAATGTGAGAGAACTGACGATGTTCAGGGTGAGGACTCATGAGAGGAGTGGTAATCCTTATAGAAGGTGAGAAGAATGCTCCATGGTTATCTTGGTCAGACCCCAGTTGTGATCTAGGAAGGTCGACTTGAAGAGAATCATATGTATTGGTAGGGTTGGTATTATGTCTACGATTCAACAGGCCAGTTCGTTCTGTTGTATCTTGTTGACTTGCCATGACAAAAGATATATATATAAAGAGAGAGGGGGGAATTTACAAGAAAAGAGAAAGAGATAAAGAGACTATAGTCCATACAATTTTTTTATTTATTTATTAAGAATAAATAGATTGTGTATATATATATATATATATTCTCATAAAGTCATTGGCTTCTTGACCACACAAACCATGAGATGTCATGCGACGCATAACACACATAAATGACTAAAAGAATACAAAGAGAAAACATATTAGTATTAGCATTGTTTTGCTTTGGAGACTTGACGCATCAATTGGTGTGTATAATTTAGACTACTATTACTAGAATTTATTTTTGGATAAGTCAGAGAACAAATAGGGGAAGACAGAGTATTCTGTAATTAACCTTATTTTTCTTTTCTTCTTCTCCTTCTTCTTCTTCTTCTTTTGATCATATGTTAGTCACTACTGGTAAAGAAATTGGAGCGGGAAAATGATTTAAAAACCAAGCACAGGGTGTGAGACGAGAGAGCTTGTATACCATGGGTGGTCTTCTTTTTTTTTCTGCGTGCACAGAATATATCTCTAGTATTTCTAGTTAGATACCAATTGCATCAAATGCCTATAAAGGTAAATAGAGAGATAAAGAATTCAGGGCAGAAATATGCTAGGCTGAACAGGTGGCCACAGTGCGTTGTGTTGTATCTGTTGGGAAATCACAAATGTTCCAATGATAAGAGACATACATATATTATTGGAATTTTATTGTTCAGATCCAAAGTATAATGGTAGATGTGTTTCTGTCTATATTGATTGGATTGACCGGCCATATTTTAGGTGACATAACCAATTGACACTAAAGGTTCCAATATCAGACAAGCTTCTTTCCCTTTCTTCTTGTTACTCTTTGGAATTGAGAACTATGGTCTATAGATGTATAATATACCCAGTATGGCTATGTAACACGTAAAAGACTTGTAAAAATTAAATGTGGTAATTGTAATTGTAATTGTCATGGTTGTGGGGTGTAGTACATGCACAACTATACACAAGGCTTCATGTTCAAATTAATACATAAAATATATATGTTTAGAGAATCAAAACGTGTTTGAGACCAAGATTTATAAAACACATTTGTATATAGACTGCATCTTTATTTGTTTGTTTGTTATACAAATTTGATCCAAAGTATAAATGTATCTAAAGCCAATTTTTACGTAACTTGTCGATCTACAGGAGACATAATCAATAAGCTATACTGTCAATAACAGTAATAATAAAAGTCTAATTTATTATTTTTATTTTTTAATCATGACATGTCCTCCAATGACTTGGGATTATATTGATGTAATATAAACTGATAGGCTTCTTTTGATTCTTTTTAGAAGCTCAACTGTCCTTGTGAAATATATAAAAGAAATGTCATTTTTGTTTTAAAATTTGAAACACATTGAAATTGATATAGAGCCATGAAAGCAGATCGTGCCATCAATTCCAAAGATTATTTGTTCAAAGACTTATTTATCATGTGTTAACAAAAAGAAAGGAAGAGAACGTCATCAGATAACAAGAAGAAATAAAAAATAATAATAATGTTCGGTCATGGGTAATGACCAAGACAGTTGACAAGGTTGTACAGAGCTACGAACAAAAAAAAAACACTCTTTTAAAAGCAAGGTACATTCTCAAGGTACAAATTGTCCTTTAAAATATTTTCCGAATCAATAATATGATTGGTCCTCTTTAACTTGGTTTGTAGCATATTTAATTAAAGGTAATGGCAGAAATAATAGTCTAGTCTCTAAATATCTTTTTCTTATTCTTCTATTTTTTTTTATTAATTATTATTTTTTGATTCTTTTTTGTTTTTAAAGTAGTAAATGGTCTTTAGACAGCCTTGACCTTCTTATTTTGTTCAATAGCAGAGTTGACACTGATTTCCATCAATTTGTTCAAACGAGTAATCATGGAACGAGGATCATCCATCACACCTGCTGCACAGAGTGCATTATCATATACCTTGATATACATTTGAATATATTTGGATTAGATTTATGTATCATTTATCATTACTATTATCATTTCGTACCTGTTCAGCAACCATCTTGGCAAGAGCAGGGTTCTGTTCACGGATCTGGAAGAGACCACGCATGACAGCATGGTCAGGGTTGATCTCCAAGCGAGTAGGTGCAGGAGGTGCTTCACCCAACTTTGCAGAACCTTGCATCATCTGAATCATCTTGCGCATAGCTGGACTTTCATGTTCGAGCACTACATAACCCCACCATCCAAATAATAATAATAATAAATAAGAAAACCAAACAATATCTTTTACAAATAACTTACCGATAGCTGGGAACTTTTCCAATCTACGGGATACATCGACCTGTTTTACAGTCTCGTCGCCAAGAGTGTCATAGATCCAGTTGGCAAGATCCTTGGCTTGAGGTTCACTCAGCTTCTCGGCACCATCAAGTTCATCATCATCACTGCGGGCCTGCTGCAAGAGTGGATGAGAGGCTGCCTCGGGGGAATCGGCTGCGACAAGATCGTAGCCCTGGAACTGGCGCAGGTGGTTGATGACAAACTCATCGACGGTATCGTAGAGATACAACAGCTCGACGCCATTCTTCTTGAACATCTCTGTGTAGGGACTGTCTTCGGCGTATTGTCGCTTGGGAGTCAGGAGATAGTAAATCTTGTCCTGGCCTTCCTTCTTACGGCTCGCATAGCCTTCCAGACTAGTCATGTCGCCTTCCTTCAGTCCAGACGACTCGAAACGCAAGAGCTTTCCGATCTCACGCTTGTGCATCGCGTCAGTGCATGCTCCCTCCTTGATGAACTGTCCAAAGTCCAGGAAGAACTCGTTGTACTTCTTTTCGTCTTTCTTGGCTTCGTTGTCGAGCCACTTGAGCACACGCGAGGTCATGACCTGGCGTAGACGGGAGAGGATGTTGTCCTGCAGCAATTCGCGCGAGACGTTGAGAGGAATGTCCTCAGAGTCGACCACACCCTTGACAAAGCGCAGCCAGTCCGGCAAAAGTCCCTTGGATTTGGGCTGGATGAGGACCTTGCGAGAGTAGAGCGACACACCAGGTGCCATTCGTTCTCCAAGAGACTCCATGTGGCGTTCGGGAACATAGAGCACGGATGCGATCGAGAGGGGTGCGTCGGTCTTGAAGTGCAGAGTGTACTGAGGATCGTCCCAGGCGTTTGCAATAAAACGATAAAAGGTCTGATGCTGTTCTGCGGTCACACTGCTTCTATCCTTTGTCCAAAGAGGTTCGACAGTGTTGACTTCAGTACCGTTCAAGAAGATCGGGAATCCAACAAAGCTTTGAGTGATAATAATTAGATTTATATATATTTATATTTATATAATATTTATATAATATTTATATATTTTTACTTACTTTGAGTATTTTTTGATAATGGAATCAACCTCAATCTGGGATGCAAATGACTTGCTGTCTTCACGGAGTTCAATCACAATTTTAGTACCTACAGCAACATTATCTGCCTCGGCAACAGTGTATGAGCCCTGACCATCGGTAGACCAGCAATAACCCTTTGATCCAGGAAGTGCAGACTTTGTGTAGACCTTGATAGTATCTCCCACCATAAACTAGTGACAATAAAATAACACAAATTAACATATAAAGTAGACGATATTTTTTTTTACCTATATTTTCAAATATCTATATAGATATTATGTGTGTATTGTGTATGGTAAAATAAAAATAAAACTTACGGTAGAGTAGAAACCAACACCAAATTGACCAATGATGTTTTCACGGGAACCAGAACCTTCATTCTCCAATTTTTCCAGAAACTTCTTTGATCCAGAACTGGCAATTGTACCCAAGTTCTGGTTCAATTCATCCAAAGTCATACCAACACCAGAATCCTAACAAAAAAGAAACCAATTCACCAAAATTTACAAGATAAATCAATTGAGAATAGTAATAAAAATAGATAAATAAAGAAAGAAAGTAATATAGAAATCTTATGTACCTGGATAGTAAAGGTTTTCTTTTCGTGGTCAAGAGTAATACGGACTTGGAGTGGGGTTCCGGTCTCAATGTTTTCACTGGACTGCAAGTGTCTCAACTTTTCAAGAGCATCTGCAGCGTTTGAAATCAATTCACTAAAACACATCAATAAATAAACACAAGAAACATTCGAATAATCAGAAAAAAATAAATATTATGAAAATTTATATGGTTTTTATGCTAGTTGTCTTACCGAACAAAGATCTATTTAATAAAATCAAGCAAACCAACAGGAAATCCAGAGTTTAATATAAAATAGACCACACAATATAACTAATGGTAATATCAATTAACATTTATCGTCATTCACCTCTTTTTCAGAGTACATTGAGTTTGCAACGATTTGCAACATTCGCTTGGTCTCGGTCTTGAATTCGTGAGATTCTTCGGGACCAGTGACAACTTCAGTGTCCTGGCTTTCTGTGGTAGTAGAGTAATTGGCCATTGATTGCCAGAACAAACGTTGACTAACGGCAGCTCCATTACTTTTCAAAGCAGGCGAGAAATTCTATTTTTTTGGTTTTTTGGTTTTTGATTTATTTATTTGTTTTTGGTTTTTTACGCACGTAAATGTAGGTGTAGGTGTAGATAAAGGACGTTCGATTTGTGTTTTTGTTTGTTTGTAAAAAAAAAGAAAGAAAGAAAAGAAAACCAGGTTTGTATAATGTACAGATAATGTATATATGTTTATTTCATTTATTTCATATATATATATATATATATATAAATAATAGAAAGAAGTAGTTTTGGGATAGTGTTTATATGTAAGAACTTGTATATCAACAAACTTTTTTTATTTTATTTTATTTTTCTTTTTATTACCTTGGATTGACCAAGAGCATTAACCTGAAGACTTGCTTTGTTTCTAACAGCCTTGAGAAAAGGAGCTGAAGACCGAGTAATTTGTCTGAACATTGATTTTTTTCTTCTCTTTATTTTATTTCTTCCTTAAAAAAATCTCTCTCTATAAGTTAATGAGAAATAGAACGGTGGAATGAACTACTTCTTTTTTGTTGAATATTTTTTAAAAAAAAGGGGAGGAAGGAAATTGAATTAAAATTGGCCCTGGATATTATATATATATGTAAAGAAGTAACTGGATTTGGATTTGACAGTTAGTGTGACTTTTTTTTTAACATCTCTATTCAAAGCCACACTTTGAAGCACCAGGGTTTTCTTTTTTAAAAAAAATAAAAAAAATAAAAAAAAATTGGAGGGAGAAAAGGTAAAGGGAGAGGGGTAAAGAAGAAAGGGAAAAAGGGTTGTAGAGTTGTCTGACTTTATATATATATATTATATTATATTTATTTATTTATTTTTTCTGTCTGTTTGCCTGTCTTTCTTTTCTTTTTGTCTTTTCTTTTTAACACGTACACACACGAATTACAAAAATTATGTCTCTCACAGGCGGAAAGATTGTCAAGCACTTGATTGCAACCAAAGGACCCATGTCCACCCAACAGTTGATGGCATTCGTACCTACCTATCAGACACAGTTTATCAGCAAGACACATCTGAAGAAAAAGATCCTTGCATCGTTGGAGGGCGAAGGTGTAATCATGAAGCAAGTTACTCCCCAAGAATTATCAGTCAAGAGAAGCTGGAACTGGCACATTGCTGACGAAGCTAGCATTGAAAAGTACAAGTCATTGGATATTATTTCTGCTAAAAATTAAATGACCAAAACATAAAAAAAAAAAAAAATTACTGCTTATTGGTGAACATATTTTATAATCGTATAAATCCATACACAAACACACGCGAATAACGAATACCGAATAACGAAATAATGAACACGAGTACGAACGAACATTTTCACGCATACACACAGACGTACATAAATAGATACATAGCATAGACAGTTACACGATTGGCGTGTAAAGAAATGGAGATATATATATATATATATACACATATATATGTGTGTAATTGTATACAAATGCACTAAATAATCTGCCGATTGTTTTATACATTTCAAGCGACCAACAGTAACAACAACACCAATAATAATATCATTTAAAATTGGTTGTAGAATGTACCTTTCTCCATCTATTTGTTAATTAATTAATTAATTAATTAATACATATAAAGTGGTGTAAGATTAAAGAAATACCCAAAAAGTAAAGAACGGTATATCCAAGATAGATAGATAGATAGAGAGAGAGGCCAAGCATCGAGAATATTGTTTCTGTTTCAAATCAATCTACATATCGATTGAAACTGAGCTTGAATCTGGAATATACATGATTATATGTTTCAAAACAAAAAATGGAGAAGAACGAGGAGGAGACTTTTATATGAGTGAGTGGAGGGTGTTGATCTTTGGAGAATATCAATGATTTAAAAACGTTAATTGGCTTATGGTTTTATATTTGAATGAAGACGATTCTTTTTTTTCAGAGTCAATAAATAATTAAAAAAAGGAAATAGAATCCGGGGAAAGATAGCACGTTTGAGTGGATAAATATTATTATTATTATTATTATTATTACATATAAATAAATAAAGAGGTATTGTAGAATAGAGTGTATTCAATGGTATTGTTATTATTTTTTTGACCAATAATATGAAAAAGAACGTATAATTGGCCATTTTGGTGGGGTTATTTGGATCGTCATCGTTGATGTTTTTTTTTTATAATAATAATAAAGAATAAAAGAATTAAGCACCAGTGTTGGTGACATCAGTACTTGCCGGATAGTAGCTTCGAGAACCCATGGGATCAAAGTATTGACCCAATCTGTCAGGACGACTGCCGCACCGAGTTGGATCTCTCATGAAATGTTCGTCTTTGTAGTCTTCAAAGATTGACGTCGGCCGGTCTCGGTTGTTGCAGGAGTGGATCGAGAGTGGAATGGGGGACATGACTGCCAGGTAGGTCGGTAATACAGCGGATTTGTCTTTTTCAGGTTTTTCAAAGGTAAAGAGTTTCTTGAATCCACTGAAACGGCCCATCCAAATATCAATTGGAATCTGGGGTTAATAAAGTAAGAGAAAGAGAGAAAGAGATTGAATAAATAAAATTATTTGACAGCTTTCATCAAAAAATAATAATAATATAAAATCATACTAGAGTCCGCAAAACTCTTTCTTCTCACACATTCACTCACACAAGGCTGGGGGTGGGTAGAATTTGGTTCCGATTATTGGTTTATTGAAAGAAAGAAAGAAAAAAAATTGAACCAAAATTCCGATGTTTATCCGCTCAATAATCCAATTATATATTTGTATATAAAGAATGTGAGCGGAGATGCCATGTATATTATATATAATATATATATATATAACATATAACGGTATTTTCTTTAATGTAAATTTCGATTCTACTTGTTAATATTATTATTATTATTATCATTATTATTATTATTTCATTCCAATTCTTCCGAGTATTTATAGGTAAGAAAGAAAGAAGAAGAAATATAAAATATATATAAAAATAGAGTACGTAAAAGTGGATGCAGTCATTTGAAATATGAATAGAAAAAAAAAAAAACAAGTACAGAGCATCATGAAACGAAACAAACAAAAAATAATAATAATATAGAAATAAAAGGAGGAATAAAGAACATGAGATAATTGATAAAAAAAAATAGAGAGCAAAAGCAAGTAAAGAAGTAAAGTTAAAGAAGTTAAAGAAAAATAGGGGGGCCGGTTTTGGACGGTAATGCAAAGAAGATTGAAATGTAAAGTATGAAAAAAAAAATCAAAAGGGAGGGAGGGAGGGAAGGAGGGGGGGATCTTTTATCAGTCTTCTTGCATAGCAGATCCTTCATCTCTTCCTCTTTCTTCTTCTTTTACTTCTTCCTTTACATTCTCTACTGTCACTGTTACTGCTTCTGCTGCTTCTGCTTCTGCGTCTGCGTCTGCTGTTGCTGTTGCTGTTGCTGTTGCTGTTGCTGGTGGTGGTGCCAATCCATTTTCTGTGTGTTGAATCTCTGGCACATTCTGACTTGCCTCTACTTCCATGGCTACATCTACTGGCGCTTCACTCTGATCCTCCTCTTCCATAGGCGTCGGTTCGCTTCCATTAGCAAGGGATGCATCACCCATAACCACATCTACATTTGAATTATCCACAGTCACCATCTTATCTTCGGATACAGCCACAGCAATGGACCCAATGGCAGGAATGTCGTGTGTGCCAGAAGCCTCTACCGGAGACACTTCCATGGCAGTCGTTTTGAGTGACACAATCTCAGCAGCAGACCCATTAACAGCACCAGCACCAGTACCAGAATCACCATCACCATTAGCATTAGAATTAAGATCAGCACTAGAACTAGCACTAGCACCAGCACCAGCACCAGCACCAGGAGTAGTGGTAATAGAAGTAGCTGTAGTTGTAGTGCAAGTTAGTTGTGCTGTGTTTGCTGCATTGATTGTCTGGCCTGGCGGAACCACCACATTTGCCACGGGAGCAGGAGCAGGACTGTCCACAGTAGCATCAGTACAAGTTGCACCAGAAGTAGTGCCACCAACAGAACTGGTCGCATGTGTCGCCGCCTTGTTTGCTTGTGGGACGGTAAAGAGCCCCTTCCAGTTCCGCATCAACTGCTGGCATCGTTCCTTAATGTTGTACTCTTCGTCACCCTCGTAATGATAAGTACATGCAGCCTTGACGACCTTGCCAATCTTGGTGTCCTATATATATATATATATATATATATCCCATAATCCCCCAATTACATTTTTAATATTCTTTCTCTTTCCGATGCCCACAACTCTAAACTACCAATATCACATCCTGTACATAACCCATCCCACACGACCAGGCATGCATACACATACACATACACATACACATACACATACACATACACAAAAAAAAAAGAGTCACCCAACTTACCCGGAGTAAATCATATGTCATTGGAGAATCCTCTACTTCCTTTACTGCATGAGAGATCTTTGGGTAGTCTTCTATCGAAATCTCACCCTAATAATCAAATCAATAAAAGTGGCCAGTTTTCAGTCAAGAGATATATATATATACACACACACACACACACATGAATACATAATATATATTTATCCAAGTACAAAACCCCAATCCAATCCAAACCGATACAACCCAACCCAACATCTACCTTTTCCCCCCAACCCACTTCCATTCACTCACAATGAATATACATATTTATGCGCGTGAATGTGTGGACGTGTGTTTTCTGCTTGCAGCTTGTTTATCACCAAATCCCCCCTTCCCCTTTAATTCTCCCCTCTTCTTCTTCTTCTTCTTCTTCATTATCATCATCATAGTTATTATTATTATTCTATTACTTACGGCCTTCTTATCATAGACCAGCTTCTGAAGCTTGTGTCTGATGTGATATACTCTCCGGTACTCGGGGGTTTTCTTTGGTGCTTCATGTCCATTGCCCTTCTTCTCACCATGCTCATTCCCTGACGGTTCTTCAGACTTGCGCATCGAGATAGCGGGTGATGCGCTTGCACGTTTATGGGATCGTTCTTCATCTTCTTGCTCGACAGACATGGACTTGCGCTAAATATATATACAAAAAAGAAAGAGCCTTTAGTTTTTGTATTATTTCACTCACATTTTGTTTCTTTTTTTGTGTGATAAATTTATATATATATATATATATATAAAGAACCCAGATGATATTGGGGGGCGGGCGCGGACTTACTCTTTTCTTTCTGTCTCGTACATTCTCGCCATCATCTGCCTTGTCCTCTTCTTCCTTATCCTCTGCTACTTTCCGAGAACGTCTCTTTGGCTTTGAGGTCTGGGCCGCCTTTCCCTTTCCCTTTCCTTTCACTTCTTGTTCTTCCTCCACTTCTGCCTTGTTCTTTTTTCCCCTTTTGGTTCCATTTCCATTTTCTTTGAACTTTCCATTTCCATTTCTACTGCCTTCTTCTTCTTCATCATCATCTTCTTCATCTTCATTGTTGTTGTTATTATTATCTTCCTCTTCGTCATTATCGTCGTCATTGTTATCATTCTCTCCTTGTTCATGATCTTCTTCCATAGGAGTTGATTCTGCAATGGTCGCTGCTGATGCCGCTGTTGCCGCCGCCGCAGCAGCAGAAGCAGCAAGAGCAGCCGAAGAAGAAGAAGACGAAGAAGAAGAAGAAGAAGAAGTAGCCTTTTTCCGCCCACCTGCTGCCGACTGTGTCTTTCTTTTCGCAGGTTCTGGTGCAGCCTTCTTTGCCTTTTTTGCTGGTGGCTTTCGCGACTTTGTTGTGGGCTTCACTTCCTCCTCCTCTTCCTCTTCCTCATCTTCATCATCTTCATCAAGACCTTCTTCTTCCTCCCTTTCTTTCCTTTCGAATTCTTCTGGATCCAAAGCTTGTCTGACCGCATTCTCTAGTTCTTTGTTCTTGAACTTCTTTGCTTTCAAATCACGCTCGACCGTAGTCTGGTCAAACGGTCGGATGGCATCCGGTCCAAAAAACCCGCTAAATTATTATTATTTTTATTATTATTAATAAAGTACTAATTTTTTTTTAAAAAAAATAAATAAATACATTGTAGAACACTTACTAGTCTTTGGAACCATAAAAGAATACTGTCCAGAGTTGACCTTTGGTTTTTGCCTTTGACTTTAGGACCTTTGGTGGTACGTTTTGGTCGAGCTCAATCTAGAACTGCATTCAGTGATGCAGTGCTTCAACAAAAAAATAATAATAAAAAATAAGAAAGGGTTTGCTTACCCTTGCTGGCCACCATGGATAACCTTTCAACTTGGCAAATACAGTTGTGCCAGGCGCATACTGCGGTGAGTCTGGGGGACTCATTTTAGATTGACTGATGTAATAGAAAGATTCCGAATGGGCTTGACGGTGTTTTATGGTATGTTTGGGGGTTTGTAACTTCTTTTTTTGTTGTGATTACTTCTTTGTGTGTGTGTAGCTTTATTGGATGAGCTGTGCTTTTTTGTTTTTGTTTTTGTTTTGTTTTATAGAATATACATATATTTTATGTATCTTTCTCTCTTTATATCCAAAGGCTGTTTCTTGTTGGTCGCTGGTTGTTGTAGTCTCTGTGAACTGAACGCGTCTTTAACCAGAACAAGAAGTAAGAGAAAGAAATAGAAAGAAAAAAATTGATGGGAACTGTAAAATAAATAAATAAAAGAAAATAAGAGAGAAGAGAGAGAGAGAAAATAAAAAGGAAAAGGGGGGAAAATGCCAAAAAATAATAATAATAAAAATTAAAAAAAAAAAAAAAAAAAAAAAAAAAAACCATTAAAAATTAAATTAAATTAAATTAAAAAAAAATTTTTTGGTTCCCCCCTTTGGGGGGGGGGGCCAATTTTGAAGGGCCTGGAAGGGCGTTTGTTTTTAGGGTTTTAAAAATTTAATATTCCTTTTAAAAAAAAAAAAAAGGGCCCTTTTATATTTTTCCCCCCCCCCCCCTTTTTTTTATAGGGTAAAATATAAAAAAAAAAAAAAAAAGAGAGAGAGAGCAAAAAACATTTTTGTCCCGGACCCGAATTATCGGCTTAATAAAAACCACCCCCCCCCCCCCCAAAAAAAAAATAATCCTCCAATTTTAATTTAATTTTTAATTTAATTTAAACCCCCCGCCCCCAAAAAAAAAAACCGTTTTTTCCAATAAGGGTTAAGAATTACCTTTGGGCCCTAGGATAAGAATAATGGTAATGGTAATTTTTTAATTTTTTAAAATGGCCCCTTGGAAAGAAACCCCCCAAAAAAAAAACCCCGG